GGCGAACTCTTTACTTGCTTTTAAAATCGTGATTCCTCTGCAGACTGGAGTAGCCGGACCTCAAAGAAGCAAATAGGAATCCGATAAAGACGAGACGGGAGAAGAGGAGAAGCTGGAGTCAGAACCGAAATCGACATGAGGAGACGGAAGAAGAAGAGGAGGAGGAGAACTCAGATGGAATCAAATGGAATCGACTAGTCGAAAACCTCGTCTCTTAGCAGACCACTTGAATGGCAGCTAATGAACGACAAAAATTGTTTTCCATAATTACTATTTCATTCACTATGTTTTAATAATTTCATATATAGTACCTACATTTTTATAGAACACTTTTATAAATTGACAACCAAATAATTTAGTTGCTGAATTTTTTCATTGGATTTGCAACCAAATTTTTTAGTTATCTAAGATTTTCAAATCTCTTGCTTAAATTCATAACCAATAATATTTGGTTGGAGAAAGTAAAAATCAATATGCTACCAAATTATTTGGTTGGAAAAACTAAAAATCATTTTGCTACCAAAAGGAAAAGGTAAAAATCATTTTGCTACCAAATTATTTGGTCTCTTCAAGTTTTATTTGGTTATCAATACTTTGACTTTAATAGACAACCAAATTTTTAATATTTAACTACCAAAATATAATTGGTTGTAAATACTACCCTTTTCACAACCAATTTTAGTTTGGTTGTAAAAATTTTGGTTGCAAAAGCTAGTTTTTGTTGTAGTTATATGAGATCAGTGCATTGATTAATTGGATATTGTTATTAGTCAAAGTAAGTGCATGAATTTATCATATATCAAAATGCTCATCATTTTTTGTCCGAATGAAAGAATTATCTCCCTATCTCTAATTCCTCTTGTAACTCTTTTCTTGTTATGATATACTTCAAATAAGAAATGTATGAGCACACGTAAAATTCAACCAGAGTTAAGGCCCACCAAACATATATATTTTCTCAGTTAATCACACTGTTGAAAGTTGGAACCAATAAGTGGTAAACATTGTGGGTGAAATAGCTAGCACAACATAAACCCAGAAAACAACAAAAGGGAACAAACTAAGTACATGACAGTAGGACACAACACAATTATGTTCTATATACTTCTCCTAGCTAGCTAATAAAAACTATTACGTCATAATTAAAGTTGAATTGGAAACAGCTAATAATGCCTGGTCTTTTTTTCAAAACTCAAATTGATCAAGAAAATTCTGAGACCACACAAATTATTATTGAAGTGGATTATCTACATTAATTCTTATGTTCAGTAGCATCAAACGGTGTATGTATTCTCCTCACTTTGTTTCATAGGAGGAGTTGATTATCTCGTAGCATGTTGACATTGATTCCATACAAAATGACATATATCGATCACAATATGCAATATTATATATTCAAGCCCATAAACATCAAGAAAATTCAAGAATAATGATTTTGGTATGCATTTTTCTTTAATAATAAGTTATGAGAGTCGAGTTCATAAGTATGTTGTGCCAATTCAATCTTTCAAAGATCGAAACTAGACTTTGAATGGACTAACATATAACCAACAATCTCATAACTTTTCAATTTGCCCAACATATATACTGCATGTACATGTTACAACCTCGAGAACAAATATACTAAACGAATCGTAGTACTTTCTAGAGTACACGCATCTATACATCCATACTGAACAGCAAGACAGAAGTCGAATGATTAATTACGAAAGAATTAGGTACTCTAAAATATTATGAGCCACACAATCCCAACATAAAGGTCCAAGGAAGTGTAATGATCATCAATACGCGTTACATTTATGGGAAAAGTATGTGATGATGTTTGGTTCGGTTTAGTTTGAATTAATATAGCTATCTAATTAATTTTGATAACAATAGTGATGGGGCATGCTTGTACTTATTTCTATCGTGTATCCTTTAGCTCTGATTAAGAGACTGATTCCTAACACTATCTATCCATCTAGTGCTCCATTTTACAAACAAAAAATGAAAATTCGAGGATTGGAGGATTAATTCCAAAGTAATCCTTTATCATTAGTTTTTTGTAATGCCATATATGTGTCTATTTTGACATTACATAGGGGAAAGTTCGATTGGCTTTATTCCCAATATGGAAGGCCATATCCCAATTGGTTGAGAGGTCCTTATGAAAGACTGACTTGAGAGCATCCAATTACTTTTGAGTGGCTTACTAAGTACCTTATAGCCTCTCCCAAGTGTTAATTATTGTACTTTTCCTAACCAATGGTCACTTTTCCTAACTCTTTAACTATTTTGTTTTCTCTTCGCTTGTATTTACTTGCCAAGTCATGAACTTAACTATAAATAAATAGAGATAATGTTTATGAATCCATGATCTCATACCGTTCAGTTGACTTTCATTCAGTGACTATGCAACAAGACATGTATGTCTGCGTCACACAACACTTACCTACTCTACCAACCTCGGGTGGGATGAGTACTTAGAGGTAACACACATAGCTATCTCGCGAGGACATAGATTGAATAGAATACATGATTTTCTCAAGTGCAATCAATTACAGAGAGTTGGCATTAAGCAAAAACAACTCTAGAAAAATCCTTTGGGATAAAATATAAGTACCAATTATGCAAATAATTGAAGTCACTAAACCATCTGGCTCGTTTTAAAGACTGAAAGGTGAGTAAGACTTTTTCATATGGTACCAAAACTTTTATCTATGACCAACAATGTTAGTTCACCTCTCACCATGAACGATCATATATACAACAACGTAATAAATTATTGTCTACGAAGAGAGCTCTATTCTCATGATCACTGTATATCAAACCCCTAACTATTATGATTAAATTACAATCTAACCATCAAAACAAACCCTTGTATTAAAAGTGTAGTAGTTCTAGACTTCCCCAAATGCTCTCAAACTCTCACTAAACGACAAAGAAACCCTAGTGGCTCTCTCCTTTCAAATTGACAAAGGAGGCATTTGCATGTGATACAACCATCGTGGAATTGAAATGTTGAAGGGTTCCATCCAACCTGTAATTAATTAATAAGAGAAATCAAATTGAACAAAACTTTCTCTTGAACATGCAACACCACTAGAGAGAGAGAGAGAGAGAGAGAGACTTAGTTGTGAACCAATGAGAAGAGGAATTTGTGGCTAAGAAGGTAGATTTAGGCTGGCCGACTTCAACTATAGGAGGAAAAGAGGTTTAGAAGACAAACCCATATTAGGACATTTATTAATGATCTCTCCTTTCTCTTCATCTACAGGAGACTCTTGGGAAAGAGAAGTATGAGTAGTAATTGAATTCTCAGTACTGCTCTGCTACATCCGCTTCCACAGACCACATTCTAGCTAGGGCGATGGGATGGGACTTAATTGAGTGTTGAAACGTGGAAGAAATTGGGTGAATGGACCTCCACATCATTGGATCCATCATTATTATGGATAAATGTGATTATGATACGGATTGTATGTATAAGGATTAAGGGATCATGAAATTGTACGAGTGAGTACAGACGCTTACTGAAATTAGCGTGTTTTCATTGAAGTTTGAACGAAATAGTATAATCATGTGAGGACTTTAGGTCTATATGACAAGTTCTATTAAAAAAAGTTCTAGTTCAGGTTGCACGTTGTTACGGAAAATTTGGAGAGAAAACCCTGCAAAAATTTAGACCCGATGTGCCGATTGAGCGACAGCGGGGCCTACTAAACCACTGGGGTACCTACATACTAACCGGGGCTTTATGCTACCAACATCGGGGAGGCTTCGCCTCCAATACCAAGGGTGCCACCGGGAACGCTCAAGTGGCGCTACTGGGAATCGAACTCAGGACCTCGCACATCCAGAGCTCAATTGGTCAAGTGGTTTCACCCCTAGGCTATGTTACCTTTGGCGACTATGATTTATTAAACAATAATCATTATTGACTTGGAATTACACTTGTTTGTCCTTTTTCTTTTTAGTACTAATCCAAATAATTATTTTTGCCCAAAATGTGTTGTGTGATTAGTAGGGTAAAGTAGTTGGGTGTTTGTTGTTTGGTTGGAAAGTTCCCATTAGTTCAGACTAAGCTTAGCTTGTATTGAGAAAGCAAACAGGGTACCTTTCTCTTTTTGCCCAATTCCTTTTGGATGATAAATTATATTCCTTTGTTTTTATGGAAGAGACTGAAAACTCTTTGGCAATGGATTGATAATTTTGACATGACGTGTTATTCTATCTATTTCGAGGCGATTAATAATGGTCTTGTTTAGTAGAATATATAACTTTTTTTACCATTTGTTCTTACTCTGAATTTTGTTGTTGTTGACTTGTGTGTCAAACTTACATATAATATTAGTTAAATTAATTATACTTAAATTCTTATGTTATGTTTCGACCGTTATATGGTTATTGTGTCTTTATTAGTTAATGAACTTGTTTTTTTTAGCTTTGATACACATTTAATTTTATCGACATGCTATGATTTGTGGCTCGCCAATACATCTAATTTGGACTCAAGCGTACCAAGGGGGTGAGTATGAGAATTGATTAATATATATGTTCCACATGGGGTCCTTACTCCTTATAATTTTTTCTAATATTTCAATCTTTTATCCTTTTCTTTTGTTTGACAAATTATTATGAAAAAATATTACCTCCTTTATTTCTTAATACTCGTACAATAATGAATAACTCGCCACGATTAAGAACATGTACCTCTAATAACCGAAATTAGCACAATACCATTGCTCACCCTACTTCACAAACCTCTACTAGTTCGATGGCACAAGCTTGCGTGGGTAAGTTTCATCCGAAAGCTAATGAAGTTGGGCCTGAAGCTGAGATCTTAGTACTAGCTTGCTCGCCAAGCCCACTAACTAATGGGCCACATCGGAGGCATCTCGGCCCTGGGCCTCCGCCACTCTTTTCTTTCTTTTTCCCAACAGCCAACTCTCGCACTATTTTCTCTTCGAGCTCTCCCAGTCTTCATTCCTATTATTTCTTCTTCCTCCGCCGGCGGCAACATGACGAGCTATCTATGGAGGAAATACGCGGATTATCTGTACACAAAATGGGAGAGAACGATTCTCTGGGACATGATCGATCCCTACCGTCGGCCCAAATCTTTCACCCCTCTCGTCACCATCTACGTCGCCGCCTTCTACACAGGGGTCGTCGGCGCCGCCATTACCGAGCAGCGTTACAAGGTATTGGATCAGGTTTTTATGGATCGCCCACTTCAATTTGATTTCTGGGTTTTCATACAGAACGATTTCTGATTTGTTGGAGGTTAATTTTTGGGGTGGAATTTGAGCAGGAGAAGTACTGGGAAGAACACCCAGGGGAAGTTGTGCCTCTGATGACTCCGAAGTTCTATACTGGTCCGTGGAGGGTGTATAGAGGAGATGCCGTGAAGCCCAACAATTAGAAACTTCCTGGTCTTGAAGTGCTCTGCGATATCAAGTTCCTTTGTTTACTGGGTTTGTAAAAGCTATGAGCTTGACAGATTTATGAATGTAGTTGTTCATGGCGTTTGTTCAAGGCGCCCTGCTTGTTTTTGGTAAACTTGATGGTCGAATGGAGATGCCAATTGCCAACACTTTTTGTATAGATATATACTAATGTTACGGCTCATATATTGTGCTTTTTGATGATGAAGCTGGTAGATGCTTCTATCCACGAGTTTTCGTCACGGTTCCTACAAGATTTTGTTATTATATCCTGAACCTAGAGCATTGCACAAACAAAATTAGTAAAGAACCAAAAAAATAAAAGGAAGAATTTTTTTTTAATCTTTCTTATTGGGTAGGAGTATATACAGAACGGAAAATGGTTTGATTTAGATACAGGGAAACAGAAGACCAGCTTAAAATGGTCTTTCAGCATAAGCATTCTCCAAATCTGTGCACTTTCTAGCCTAATAGCTCCCCTGCTATTAAGAATCTCTACTGCAATTCTGCATCTGCCTATAACTTGGAAGCTCCATTTGATGAATTCTAGAGCGCACAATCTTGAAATCACCCACGAAGAACACAGTGCTAGATCGATTGACCGCCACCTTGACAGATCAGGTATATGTGTTTGGGACTATGTCAAGCAATGGTAGGATTGGGGGAAGCATTTTGAGAGGAGGAAATGCTTAATCTTGAAAACCAGCACATATAGCCCATAGCATGTGACCGAGAGAGACGCCATTAGTAGATACCTTCAAAGAGAGTGAGGGAAATCAGAACATGTATAACCACAGCTAAAAACTTTCAGTCTTGAGATACATACCACAATGGAGCATAAGGTGAAGCCAAGTCGAAAAATGGGTATGGCCACCTGAAGTTACAGAGAACATCATTCATGGAGATTAGCAAAACAAAATATGTGCATAAGACTGCTTTTGGGTTTGGAAGAAAGATTTTAGGATATAGGAAGTACCAAATAGATGTACAGGCATGAACAGCCCATTGGAAAAGGACGAAAGAAGCGGTATACAGAATGAAGTAAGCTATCCGGAACCAATGAAATGGCTGGCAAGAAATGAAGTATATCATATACAATTCAGATATTATTGAACGGAAATGAAATGAGAGTTCACAGGAACAGAGAGAGAAATCAAACAACAGCAGTTTACCAAGCTATTCATAGCCATGTCACCAATGAGCAAGACTGCGTTGAGTGTATGCATGTCTATAGTTACCTGTAAAGTAAACGAATGAAAGTATCAGAATTCTAGGTAAAGGAAACAAAAGCAATGTGGTGAGTATAACAAAAATACAGTTGACAAGCGGTACTTACAAAGTTGACAGTGTAATCTGCAATGTTAAGAAATGGAAATATAATGAACCAGTAAATGGAATCAGTATAAACAACTGCTCCAGCACATATCTGTTTCAAGAAAGAGATCAGAAGAACCGTGAGGTGGTAACACAACCCAAAAGGAAGCGTCACGGAAATCAGCTTGCGATGTTATCTACCTGGTATATGGTTTGAAATATGTAGTAAACAATAGGAATTTCTTGAATACAAATTTCTCCTCCGCCGTTTGCTTTTTTCCTCAATTCATGAACATCTGTACTTTCCTCAGTTAGTAGAGGGGCAATAGAACCTTGCTCGTAATCCCTTCGATCATAATGGACCCTCAACTTGTGAAATCGGTAACATCCATAAACCGAGAGCAGTGATCCAAGCTACAAGTAAAGGCCAGACTGCATTCAGGGTAGAGCAAATATTTTTTAATGCTGCAAGTGCCCAGATGGCAATGCTTCTTCAGACAGACTCTTACATTTCACCATAGGTCTATTGCACACCATTGGGATAACAAACTGATGTGTATATTCTTACAAAGAAGGCTTTGCATTGAATTGCCTTACAACTTTCAGCAGAATGTTAATAAAGAAACAAACCAAGCGAAAACACTTACCGCAAAATAGACTGTCACAAGATTATAAGTCCACCTGCCACCAGAACCCAAAAGTTAAAAAGTTGAAGTTAGAATGTAATCAGAATGGCTGAAAATGCCAAGAGGAAGCATGGCATTGATGAAAACAAAATCCATACTAAAGGAGAACTCGCACTCCTACATCCCCAGTATAATAGAATTGTACTGAAAGTTCATTGAGATTCATAGTGAAAGAACCATACTGTGTATAATAGAAATACATGCGAGCTCCACTGCTGGAAAGCTTTACAACCATAGTCGCCAGAAGCACAGAGAACGACACAACCCGATAAAGCAACAACCAAATAGGATGGATTTGGTCGAGACACGGCTTCCAAACAGCATCACTGTGTGACAAAGTGGGTTTCTCCTTCTCTTGCTGAAGTTTTTTCTCCTCCCTGCTGCAAGATCCCAAATGATCCAAACCTTCGTATTTCCATATAATATACACTGCCACAACGGAAGGCACTAAAACCCACGTTGCACATAGCAACACCCTCCAGTTCAACCAGTAGCTTAAGCTGGTCGTATCAGGAGAAGAAGCCAGTAAACCCTGCATCATCGTGCTGCCAGAACAAAAACCCGCCAATCAAAATGGTGAAAGCTATTCAAAACCCCAATGAGAAATCGCATGTGAAAGGTAAAACTGGATCTTGTTGAAGAAGAAATTCTACTTCAAACGTAACATCAACGTTTGGAGATGGGTGTCGATTGCATTAAATTCGAATGCAGGGCACCAAGAAAAAGACCGGAAGATGGAGCGAAGTAAGGCTACGAACCAACCGACATTCAAGATACAACAAAATTCGAGCTACCCACCAGCCACTATCTGAGAGCAAATTGGAATGGCGGTAAACGACAAACAACGAAGAAGAATCAGCAAAGAGGGAGCAGCGGTTCTTACATTTAAAGGCGACGATGGTAGGAATTATAATAGCCGAGTGAAGAGGAAGGTGGGTTCGTCGTGTCGGGGCGGTGGAATGGAAGAGAGACGATCGCCGGCAAGCTCTCAAGCGGTGGAGGACTTCGCTTCAATGGAAGGCGTGAGAACAGTCTTCCATTTGTGGAGGGAGGAAAACGGAAAACTGTAAGGTGGGAAAGTCGCGCAATGTTTTGATTATTCTTTCATGTCGATAATTGTGTTAAAAATTAAAATAATAAAAGCCCATTAACTGAGCATTTGGGCCCACCTTACTAAATTGGGTTTTCAGAATACTCCACATGCAGATTATTAATCATCATTAATTTAATGGGGAAAAAGATTATTTATCATCATTTGGTGTGATTATCATCAGCAACGAAAACTGTGGATATATTCATAAAAAAAACTGTGAATATTTGTAATTGTGAATATCCGTCCGAATCCGAACTAATTGGGTAGGATAAAATTCGAATTCGAAAAACTTTTAGTGGGTACAAGTGAAACCCGAACTCGAATATTGCGTAGGGATGGCAATTTCGACCTGACCCATTTTACACGACCTGTTGGGGTGGGCATGGGTACCTCTAGTCGACCTGACCTGCCCTGACCCGCCCCATTCTCGACCCGTTCTTGCCTAAGTTACATGTAATCTTGGTCAAATTGCTTAGAATTTTCCTCATATTACCTCATTATTTAGCTATAATAAAGTTGTAAATAAGTGAAAACCTCAATTTCTTCAATACTTCAACTACAATTTATCTTATTATGGTTCATTTCTTGGTCTTTTAATGAAAATAATGAATATTTTTAAAGATTTTCACATAAATTACATACTCATTGGGTTGACATGCCCCGACCCGCGCCTCATGATAAATTACCCGACCTGAACCCGACCTGCCACGGGGAGGGTATGGGTATCGAGATACCCGGCCCGGACCTGCCCCATTGCCATTCCTAATATTGCGTGTAATGCGTGTACATTGTTTTTACCTTTCTCACTATCCAACCCCAACCGCCCGATTATAACATGCGTATGTATTTTGTTTAGAAAAAATCATTAATTTTCTCTAAAATATTTTATATTTAGCATATAAATATAATATTTTCATTAAATGGGATTGTTTTAATTAATTTTCTTCATTCTAGTGAATTATTGTTGCACTTTTACCGCTTATGTAATGGGAGAATATGTGTGAATGGTAATATATTAGTTGGAGTTATAAAGATAAATTATTATCCAGGGATAACCGTGGATACCCGAAAGAATATGAACATGATTTTGATTTTCTACTCATTTCTTACGTATGTATGAGTATAGATAAAATCCAAACTATTTTGGGTAGTGTAATGGATATGCACTATTCTCCCCGACCCGGCCCATTGTCATTCCTAAATCCTAACAAGGGTGTCATAATCCTTTGTATTAAAATAAAGGGTTTCAAATATTTGACAAACGTTATCCCATGGAATAATACAACAATTAAAGGGTGACTCATCTTCTTCATAAGCAAGGTTTGTTCTCATGGAACACGTGGATGTCATATAGTTTTCGATCAGTGATGAACATCAGACGAATGATAGTTGTGTATATATATGTTGGAAATGTATGTCCTCCTATTTGATGAGATAAAAAAATATTTATGAAATATATCTTTAACACTATCCATATATCTTCATGAATCTCAATTATTCGATCAGCGAAAGGCTATATTTGTTAGAGCTGAGAAAATAGACCAAACCGTTTAGAAAAATTATGAATAAAATCATATTGCATAGTTTGGTCTGAACCGTAGATCGTTAAGAACGGTCTGTTACATGGTCTATATTATTTGATGTTTTTATCTCTTGCTCTGGTTTAGACCGCGATTTATCTGACCAACCCGTGGAACCAACCAACTTCGCTAGCTGCATACCTGAGTCGGGATCACTCTCCCAACTCCCTTAACGAAACCCAAGTCTCAACCGTAATTTTGAGAATATCGTACCCTCCTTTATTCACAACCATATTTCACTAGAGAGTAGAGATTGTTGTGTCTCCGTATGACATCATGTTAATGTTTATGAAATTATGATGCTAGTTGGGATGCTTTGACTCTGCATCTTAGTTATTTACTGAGATTTACGGTATCAAAATTAATCATACATGTTGGAATTTACGTTTTAAGAAAAAAATATTTTTTTCTTTGTTATTAGTTCAATTTTGATGTGATTGACTAAACAACTAATTTATTTTTTACTCTAGAGTCCAGCCTCTTAATATAGACCATGAACTGTATTATATGATCTCAGATCCCACCATTTACCCCAATATGTATATATTATTCTAATTTGTCAAGTTCCAATAATGGATCCACCTCCAAATCAACCTTGAAAGCTTTCATCTATTTGCCGTCCTTGCCTTGAATGTTCTTGGTAATAGACAAAAGCTAAATTTTTAAAGTTGCATTTTTTCTCATTTTTTTATATCTATAAGATCAGTGAAAACAGAAGAGATAGAGCCAAAGCTAAGGTAAGAGGAGGAGGAGGAAGATAAATAGAATTGGAACCATGGAATCCAATCTATGTGTATACAGTTGATTATAGGATCAGGTAATTTATTTGAACTAGGTTTTGCACCTATTGTCATAAAAGTGAACACATTCAATTTGTTTGACAATACTAATTGAAAAATAAAGGAGAATGCATATCAATATATGTCTGTCATACACAATTACTCACGATATACTAGAATTCAGAAATAATATTTACGGTATTATCAATTAGAAATGTTAACAAATAATGATCGGAGTGAATCTCAACTTAGAAATCACTCTATTGGTATTTGACATTGTCGCTTCTGACCAATTTGAGACTTTGAGTGGGTCGATAAGCTTGGGAGTTGGGATACAATACAATATGGGGTCGTTTGGATTGAGTATTTGACAAACTTGTTGTTTGGGGTCAATTACCACACAAATACCACATAATATAAAACCTGTTATTTGGTATGTGATATTTGGTCTCAAACTTGTTATTTGGCAAATACCTGCCCCCTCCCAAGTATTTGGCAAACAACACTTTTTGTGTTATTTGGTCTCAAACCTGTTATTTAGCAAAACACTTACATCCAAATAACGCATCTCACTTTTTGTCAGCCAAACATGTTATTTGAGGTCAAATAACACAAAATCTGTTATTTGACCCCAAATAACACCCCCAAATACTCAATCCAAACGACCCCTACAAGTACAACAAGGATAGGGGTCCCAAAATAACTCCATCTAATCATGGTTAATACTTAATAATGATGGTAAAGTGGACACTGGATCAAGCCTTTCAATACGGGCCAAAAGTTCAATTGGGCTAAACTATTACCTCCCTGAAAAGCCCTATATTGGAGCGCCACCGCCTTTCAGAGATCACACCTTTAAAGCTCCCCCGGCTCCCGCCACCGCAACCACTCATCTTTCGTTGTTACCTCCCTGCGCCGCTCGGAAAACCCGATAGGACGAGATGCAGATATTCGTAAACCTACCGTCGCAGCAAACCTTAACTCTGGCCGCCACGCCGTCGGACACCATCGCCGACCTCAAATCCGCAATCCAATCCCGCGGAGGACCAATTTCAATCTCGGACCCTGCCAACGAACAATACTACCAATTGATCCACGGCGGCAAGCTCCTCGACGATGACAGCCGAACCCTAGCCGAGTACAGAATCCGGAACAAGTTCGCGACAGTCGATCTCCTCCCGCGGCTCCTCGGCGGCGGCGGAGGGAAGAAGAGGAAGAAGAAGGTGTTCAGCACGCCCAAGAAGGAGAAGAAGGACAAGGAGAAGCTCCCCGTGCTCAAGCTTTACAATGTCGTGGACGGCGGCGGGTATGAAGACTCGACAGGTGTGCTGGAGAGGTTGAGGAAGGAGTGTCCGAAGTGCGGACCGGGGAATTTCATGGCCGATCACGGCGACAGGGTTTCCTGCGGCAAGTGCGGTTTGAGTTTCGCGCGCAACCCACCGCCGACGCCGCGTGAGGACGCGGAGGAGGAGGAAAGGAATTTTGCTGTCGTTAGCGTTTAGTTTAGTTTTTTTTTTGTTTTTTTTTTACTTCTTACTCTTGGTTAACTTAATAGAGAGCTCGAGATCCTGCTAGCTAGGCCATTGGTATCCTTATTATAGTTCGATTCCATCTGTTACCTCTCGATCATCGTAGTTGTTAATAGAGAACGTATAAACAACTTTCATTTTTGGATGAAACAGATAAGCAATTGAATTATGAATACGATGAATCATCTCCTCTTTTCTTTTTTTGTGCAGGGATGTGATCAAACACTGGTTAATATTTATGATAGGTTCAAAGCCATCAAGGAAGCAAAAAAATTAACTAATTAATTAAGAGTATAATCAGAAATAATTCTAGAGTAAGTTCTGAAGAAGTCTTTGTTCTCTTTCAGTAGTCCTTCCCACACTACAAAATCGAGCCAAAACAGTACAGGGTTATGAGAGGGACTACTATAATACAGTTGGGATAAATATAGTCACTACAATTTTCCTTACCAGTGAGTGTGACTGTGGGATGAATGCTGGCATGCTTGGAGAGTGCGGTGGCGCATTCATCTCTGCTCATGCGAAGTATCAAACACCTCTCTATCAAATGCTGAACCTGCAACAATTTACACTTCAGCAAAGAAAAATGGCATTCTCCAGGGCCAATAATTTCTGCATGAAAAGATAAGGATATGCATCCGTTTAGATCACTGTAGTGGGGTAAGGTTTACCATTCTGATGCATTCTTGTGGTTGGCAGTGCAAGCAAGGAACCAGTGGCTGCTGCTGTTCTTCTTCTTCTCCTCCTCTGCACATCTTGAGAGAAAACAGAAAGAGGGAGAGAGGAGGGGAAGATCTTTTGCCCTTGGTTGGTTGAGAGATATTTTGGTCCAAGTCCAAGATACTTGGTGGTTCGTTTGTTGGATATTTGTGCTGCTGTGTTGTATAGCTTATATATACACAAGAAGCGTGGAGTAGGAGAGGATATAGGAAAAGAGGGTAATGGCAAATGAATGTGTTATCCATTGGAGCACAAGGAAATATCCAAGCGAAGGGCCAAAAGTGCGCCCGAAATCCAACACACCTCTGCAACTTGCTTTGCTTGCTCACCTCATCTCATCCTTTAATTTGCTTCCACGTACCTCTTCCCCCTCTTATTTTCTTCCACGTACCTCTCCCCCTTTTCATGTGTTTGTAAATGAAGCTTGCACGACAGATATTAACAATCAACCAGAAAACGTAAAAATGAGTGAAACGATCATCATGTTGTACAAAGAAGTAAATATTTCTTTACGGTATAGTTAAAGTTGCCGTCAATATAGATATTCCTCAACATGGATCTTTCATGGAACGATAAACAACTTACCGCGAAATGAGCTTCATTCAGTCCTAAGACGACTTGTGCTATAGATATTGAGCATCTGCTGACATTTCCTGATTCTAATTGGCGATATTTGGGCGAAAAGATTCGTCAGTACCAGTTCTTTACACGTGAGTCATCTATTATATGCCACTAGAGGATATTCAACCCCTCGGTAAATATCCAACGGTATATACTGTTATACATTACTTCCAGACTTGGCCAGCTATGATCCTGAAACAATCTTGGTAAGGGTGTCCTGAACTGATGCAATCGACTGGATGGCAGACCTGGTCAGCCAGCTCAGCCCGACTTTAACCCGGTGCTCATCCGTTGGTAGCCGAATCAAGTACGCAATTTTCCTAGCTGCATCATCATCACAGAAACGTCACATTAGATCGTAATGAAGAGCGTAGACGAGAGAGTAAAACAAAGGGTATATGCTGGTATGAATAGCATGGCTCGAGGAGAAGGCTGTAGTGTGTACCAGTATGGCCGATAGGACCTTCTAAGGTTAGCTCATCGATGAAACTCGGCGTTACAGCAGCGTCGCTCTGCCCCAGAGTCATCATTTCGCCCAGATTTTGGAACCTATCAATGGTGTCAACACATTCGTCAAGGCAAATCGAGCAGGTGAGGGATTAAAGAGCCGGTAAAACATGAATTTTCAACATCTGTGGCATGCGAGCCATCCAATTCGTATTTACTAATTGGATTGACTAGACGTGGATAAACCACACAGTACAGGGGGGCTACAATTATCATTAGCCAGGGAATATACGATGAATATCATTAACCAACCTAAATGGCAACAATGGACGGTCATTAATTGCAGCCCAAAGATTCCAACCAGTAAAATCTGCTTGCTGAAAAGCAACCTGAATGGGAAAACATAAACAAGTCCCAGACATCAGGCGGAAGTAACATAAAAATTGCAGATGGATGTTCAGCATTTACATCTTTACAGGAAAAAAGTTTACCTGAGCTGTTGGCGGAAGAACCTTCCCTTTCAAATCCCTGAGAGAAGATGAGTCACCAAGAGCGAATATCCGTGGGTGACCCTTGACACGAAGGGTCTCATCTGTCTCGGCCTGGCCCCTCGCGTTAAGCGGAAGCTCGAGAGGCCGTTCACGGGGTTCCAGCTCAGGAAGCAAAGGTTTAGACCCCACAGTCCATAACACTAAATCTGTTTCAAGACTTTGACTTTGCATTCCCTTCTCAGCAGGTTGCAGTTCCAAAATGTATTTCTCAGAATCCGAGTCACTTGTTTTTTGGATAGAGCGGACAAAGTAACCCAATAGCAATTCAACTTTCCTGGATGTAAGAACCTAGTTCCAATAGCAAAGATATGTTAGTTAAACAGCTTCAGTTGTAGGAACAGAAAAAAAAAAAGTTCAAAATCATATCATCACGCTATCTTCGTTGACAAAAATAAAAAGAACATAAATCTCATGAATTAAACTTTCTTAAAAATGGTGTTATCATGCTATTCAGTCATGACTCTTGAGTCTTGAGATGCCATTCAGTGACACCAAAATTCACAAATCTTAAAGTGTTGTCAAGTTTTATCTTATTCTTATTGTAATCCATAGTCTTACTTTAAGTGCAGCTTCCCTGTTTCCAGGTGGAGCAGTTGGGCAGATCATATTCTCCACATTAATAGCACGTACTACTCCTCTATCCTGCAGTCTCTCAGCAACGGTGGCAGCCAACTCTACTCCAGCATAACCACAACCGACAATACATACACTTATTGGAGATCCCTTACTGAAGTTTCTCCTCTCCAGTTCTCTTAACTTACAGTCAACCTTCTGCAGTAATGTAAAGGTTTGCAAAAATAAGTCAACCTTGAAGACTTATGATGCGGTGTTCTAACAGTAAACCATAAACCTGAAAATCTTACAAGAGCGTCTTCCAGTGTAGAAAATGGCAATGCATACTCTGCTGAACCTGGCACAACATCAAGTTTTGCTTCAGATCCTAGAGCAAGAACCAGCCTGACTGCCCAATAGGGTATGGAATAGAATCAGCTAGAACATCTAATATTGCATAAGAAACAAAACAATCTTTTCAACCTGAGCATAGATTAGAATAAGTGATCAATATGCAAATCCTTCAGGTGCCACACCTATACTAACAAAGTCTTGGGCAGAACTATATTTCTTTAGTGGACGAGTCTGGTCAAACGAGCCCAAACTTCTGGCCCTTTTCTCAACAACGAGACTTATGCGCATTAAAGGAGACAGTGAGCTCTTGTTACCCACCCAGTAAACAGGTTCACCACTAAGAATTGCTAGCAAATTATTGCACAAACTACTTACCAGTCATACTCTATCAGCAGGCCACTTTGTAGCAGGACTGTACCAGCAGAATCAGATTTTGCTGACCCATTGATTCCCAAGTGATCACATGGCTGTAGAACTTTTACCCTGTCTTGCACAAACTGCACAGCAGTGTTTGAAAGCAAGTCCACGAAGCGGGGAGCGATTTCCCAAGAATCCACTTCTGCACTGATACTGGAATTCTTTAGTAGGTACTTTAGGAAATCCATTAAAATTTGCTCAATGCAACCCAATAAGAACCAAATAAATGAATGATCATAGAAAGAAATAGTTAGTACCTCCTGAAAGAATCTCATACAACATGGGCTTGAAGACAAAACGCTCCGCTTGGTCAACAAGGAGCACCTGATCAGCAAATTTGGGGAAATTAAGGATGTTAGAGCATCGAACAGAAAGAGATACTGGGGATGAAACACAATTAAGGATACTGATCCATGAAACACCCAAGTATCATGATCACACCAGGGACAACATGCGGATCAAGTAACCCCAATAGAGCCGAAGTCTATACATAACTTGAAACCCATCATGCTTAAATTACGAAGCATTTGAACAGAATTAATTCTTCAGGACAACTTTCAATTCAATATTGCACTTAAATGCTAGTCAGTCATTACCTGAGGTTTCTTATCATCCGGCCAAGCGAGTGATTCTAGTCTCAAAGCAGTATATAAGCCTCCAAATCCACCGCCTAGAATGCACACCCTCGGGTTCTGCAGCATTACAACCAAAAGCTGTGCTGTTAAAAAGTGGGTTGATCATCAAGAGCTGAAGTTAAAGTAAGCAATTAGATCGAAATAGATGTTTCTTGGTGAACTGAAATTCCCAAGACATACAATCTTCCAAAACCGAGACCTGGGGAAGAACAGGAATCAGTAAGCCAAAACCCACCTTCTTATAAGGCCAAGTGTACACCCGTGGAGGCATTTCTTCTTGAGGTAGACTGGGAACCCCTACTGCATCATTCGCCACTGCTTCCGTAGCTACAAATCGAGCTGACAACTCTCTCCACGGAAAGGACTGTTTGAACCCAGAGTGAATAGTTCTGCATGGAGTCGAAGTGGAGGCCAAAGGGAACAACTTATCCCTTGACGTGCCTAATATCAACAAAAGGATTATACATCAATCACTCCGAATGCCACTAACTGGTTGTGCTTTATCCAACAAATTACTGCATAGAAATGAAGAACACTTCTGCAAACCTGTATTCGAGACACAGTGAACTGCAATACGAGAATTACCGGAAGAGGAATCCCGGACGCGACGAGAATTGAATGGGGATCGAAGACGGAAACCATCATCCCCGATCGAGAAAGCTAACGAGCGGGTGAGTGAAGACGGGGAGCTCCTGTGCATTGCCGACGGTAGCAGTACTGTTGCAACTGCCGCCATGGCTACTGTCTGGTATTTAGAGCAGCGACGGAAGAGTTGGAGGTGGAGATATGAGAGCCATTGGAGAGGGAAGCCGAGGAAAGTGAAATATAACTAACTCTCAGTTTGGCGGACTTTTTTTCTGGGTCGAGTGTGGCGGACTCTAGCAGGCCTCTTGGATTAATAACCGCAACTAAAATGTAAAAATTATTGGGCCTTGTATTTGGGCTGGACAGCAATGTATAGGCTTTCTATTTGGGTTTCCTTCCAGAGCCCGGACTCTTTACCCGCTGCTTCGTCTTCATTCTCCATTTCTCCTCGCTCCCGGAAAACCGTAAACTGCCGCTTTCTGCACTCAGTCTTCTCCCCATTCTTCAAAATTTTAGCCTCGCCGGAACTTCCTCCTTCTGCTTCCGTCAGTAGTCGGCCGCCGCAGTGATACCTCAGCTTTCAATTCATCCGTCAGAGTAAGGTAGGTCTAAAGTTTCAATTTTTCCTTCTACTTCAATCGTATCCCTCAATTTGTCTGCATCCTCCTCATTCTCCTCATTCAGAGCGTTTGTATGCTTTGCTGCCTTTTCTACAACTTGGGGTTACTTTATGATTAGGTGAAAGCATTGTATAGCTTAAACTGCTTTCTGTTTCAGAGTTATTTCCATCTGGGCATGGCTATTGCGTGCCTGGTTTTCAGTTGTTAATGAACGTTTCTGAAGTTTTGTCTGCGGTGATGAAGCTTCTGAAGTATTCACACTATCATATGCCCATTGCAGGGTCATCGTAGTATTTAGCTAAATGTTGCTTGTCGATCCTGAGAAGAAGTTATCTTTCACTCGCACCATTCAAAATGGTGATTTGGTCATTGTGTATGAGAAGCACGACAGTATGAAGGCTGTAAAAGTAAGCGAGAGCTCAGTGCTTCAGAACCGTTTTGGCATGTTCAAGCACTCGGATTGGATTGGGAAGCCCTTTGGGTCCAAGGTGTTCAGCAACAAGGGTGGTTTTGTTCATTTGCTGGCTCCAACACCTGAACTGTGGACTCTTGTGTTGAGCCACCGAACCCAGATTCTCTACATTGCGGATATCTCACTTGTGATAATGTACTTGGAGGTAGTTCCTGGATGTGTGGTGCTCGAGTCTGGAACTGGTAGTGGTTCTTTGACAACTTCGCTTGCACGTGCTGTTGCTCCAACTGGACATGTCTTTACATTTGACTTCCATGAACAAAGGGCTGCCTCAGCTAGGTGAGTAGACTGTCATTTATGTGTTGTCTGATAAGATTGTTGACTTCATTTGATTTTCGGTCCTTTATAGTAGCTGTCCTCGTTGCTTTTGTGATTGTATAACAAAAGAAGTCTGTTAATAAGGCTGTCTTGAGTTCGTTTCATTAGTAACTGATCTTACTGCAGTAAGTTTGATGCACAATGCTGATGCTGAGCTTTCAGTTGTACTAGCGTCTTCTTGTTCTTTGTGAAGGAACTGACATCTTTTTCCTGAATAGGGAAGATTTTGAAAAGACAGGAATCAGCAGCTATGTCACTGTAGGGGTTAGGGATATTCAGGGTCAAGGATTTCCAGAGGAACATGTCGGCTCAGTTGATGCTGTGTTCTTGGATCTACCACAGCCGTGGCTGGCCATTCCTTCTGCCGCAAAAATGTTGAGACAAGATGGTGTGTTGTGCTCGTTCTCACCCTGCATAGAGCAAGTGCAGCGCTCTTGTGAAACCCTGAGATCAAACTTCACTGGTAAGTTGTTGCTTCTTTGCTACAAATCACTCCTTTTTTTCATATGCAGGTATGTCAGTAATTCATATGGGTCTAGCCGACCTTTTTTAGCTCATATTTTCCATTGCAAGGCTCATTTAAATATATGTATCTCTTCTCTCTCTTTGATCTTGTCTTGAAGATATAAGGACGTTTGAGATACTCCTGAGGACGTACGAAGTTCGACAAGGCAAACTGGACAGCTTCGATGGAGACGAAGGCATCTCTACTGGTTCTCGTCCTGGGAAGAGGAAGCAGCCTTCCAGTGATAGAAGCAGTTTGCAGGGGGACAATGGTGGTATTCTTGCTCCTGCTCTTCCAGTGATGGCCAAGCCTTGTTCGGAAGCTAAAGGTCATACTGGCTATCTGACATTTGCCAGACTCAAATAATTGGCATGACTAATGCTTGTTGTTGAATTTGGAAGTCCTTTCTTTTCTGGTTAGCCCTTTCACTCTTGCACGAGCCTGAAAGATCACAGGGAAACATTAGGGAATTTTCAGCTCTGTTCTAAGGCTATGCTAACACAGTGTTCCAGTTAAACATAGTAGGCTGTGCTGCAGTTGAGTTTGGCCAAAATCAGTTGTTCTGTGGATAAGATAAGAGAACAGTGTTATCAGGAGAAGTGGAACAGTTTTGTGGGGCATGCAGGTCTTATAACTTATGTGCTACATTAGTTAGAATAAGTCATTTCTCTCTTCAATGCTGATCAATAATCCACCCAGAAGGTGATTATTTCCTTTCTCTGGGAATCAACATAGAAGTTGGTAATTCTATGCACACCTTAAAAGCCGCCTTCGCTAAAATTGATGCGTCGTTGGCTTGGCTTTAGTAGATGAGTTAAGTGGATCAGCAAGTGTGATGCTACACATTTTGGAAACAACCATTGTGCTTGGAATCACTTTGAAGCAGAAAAGAATAACTAGGTTCTGTTTCTTTCTTTTCAACACTATATGCAATCGGGGAGTTGAATCAGTTTGCAAAGCGAGCTACAACAGAACCTGATGTACCTAGCTAAGATTGCTGATGCTCAGCCACCACCACCACCACCACAGCCACAGCCACAGCCACAGAGGACGACGACACCGCCACCACCACCAAATGTTCAGGTAAATGCTTTGAAGAACCTAAATAAACCTTACTATACTGCTGATGTTCAAACGAATTGGTTATCAAATCCTCTCTCTTGTGTTTATGTATACAATTCAGATGGCGTCGATGCAACAGGAGCAGCAGCAACAACAACAACACTACATGCAGGCATAACAAGGTCAAATTGAATGGCCCCAGCAGCAGCAACAGCAACCAATGTACCTTCAAGCTCTTCGACATCCTTTTCAGATGAACAACCCAAAGCAGCAGCAGCAGCTGCTACAACGCTCTGATCCAATGAGCACCAGTATATGTCTGGACTTCCACTAAGCTTTTCTGAAATGTCGCAGTCAATGTACTTTGAACAACACCAGAACTTATCTCCGTCGATCCCCCTCCCTTTTTAGGCTAAGCCCCATGCTTGTTGATTTTGTGAAGCAACTTTGTGTTGGTCAAGTGGCTCTATTTCCAGATTCAAAGTTCAAGTACACCCAAGGGAACGGGCTTAGCTAATCCATGGACATCATAGGCAGAATTCAAGGGAATTCAGTAATAAAAGGCCATCAAGGAGGAAATGGTGCTAGGAAAATGCAACGTTATGCAAAGGAACCACCCAACGTATTCCAGTCATTGTAGCTTTTCTTCACTGCATATATCAAGTCCAGAGATACTATTGCAACATCATGTCGATGATGCAGCAAGATAGAATTTCCTTTTCGGTAAAGTAAACGCACCAAAAAGACAGCGCCGGAAAACAATGAAAATAGATAACGCAACACAAATCGAAATATAGTTAATCATAATGAAGACAGCAAAGAAACCAAATTCCCAAAAGGCAGTTTTTCATCAACATCCAATAAGTTAATCGTTCTGTTTCCCCTGCAGGTAAGCATTTCCAAAAAGATATCCTCCACTCAACAAAACCTCCACTGGCCACTAATCTGCCGGAGTACCTGCCACAAGGACTATCCAGTTCGACATTACCTCCTAGAAGACCATAGAATAAGAATTACTATCATCATTCAATAGATTCAAAATGTTACCTTACATAATTTCTCGTTCTCGGTCTCGATGCTTACTATCTTCTAGAAGTTGGCACATTTCTAGAGACCCTTCCCTGCTTTCCCTGCTGCTTCCCCACAGAACTGGAATTAGGCCTAGCATGAGTTGAAACCTTGCTCTGACCACTGCCGCCCACATCAGCTCCCACATTCATATCCTGAGTATTATCCTTCGATTTGCTTAGTATCTTCATGTCTGACAAGCCACCAGGGACATCAAAACTAACACCGGTTGGAGTCCGTAGAAGGTAACTTTTTGGCCCGGTGAGACTGCGCCATTGGGGATAGGGACATGGTATGCAATAATGATGATTAAGGAGTGGAGGATGCAGCTGCTGCAACAGCTACTTTAGCAACTGCAGGCAGCTGTAGCAGCTATCATCTCTTGTGCCCCTTCTCTTAGCTGTATGTAGTCTTCCTCGATCAAGAACAGCTGAAAACCCCCACAGCCCACAAGTATTAGGGTAAGACAATAGGCGCATTAGAAAGAAAATAACTTTGGAGTGTAATTTGGAAGTCCCTCGATCAAGCTTGTTGATCCACTTATGACTTAACTTATCTACTAAAGCCAAGCCAACGTCACATAAATTTTGGGGGAAGACGAGGCAAGAGGGAAAGGCACCCATCTGGGTGCAACAGAGAATTAACAACTTCTATGTTGTTCCCAGAGAAAGGAAATAAGCAGATATAGACAAACTGCATACTCACTCAAAAATCGTCAGATTACCTTCTGATTGGATTATTGATCAGCATTAAAGAGAGAAATGACTTAGCTAACTAATGCAAGACATTAGTTATAAGACTTAGTATGCCCCACAAAACTATTCTACTTCTCCTGATAACACCTATTCTCTTATCTATACAGAACTACCGATTTTAGCCAAACTCAACTGCAGCACACCCAACTACGTTTAACTGGAACATTGGTGTTAGCATAATTTTAGAACAAAGCCGAAAACTCCCTGATCTTTCCCTACGATATTTCAGGATTGTGCAAGAGTGAAAGGGCTAACCAGAAAAGATAGGACTTCCAAATTCAACAACATGCAGAAGTCTCAATGAAGTTGAAGCATCAACATTCTGAGGAAATTCAAGGGAATTCAGTGATAAAAGACCTAACGTTATGCAAAGCAACCACCGAACGTATTCCAGTCATTGTAGCTTTTCATCACTGCATATACGAAGTGCAGAGATACTATTGCAACAGAATGTCCATGACGCAGCGAGACAGAAAATCCTTTTCGGTTTTGTAAACACAGCAAAAGACAGTGCAGAAAAACAACGAAATAGATAACGCAAAACAAATAGGTATATACTCACCATACTGAAGACAACAAATAAACAAATTTCCCGAAAGACCGATAAGTATTCCCAAAAGATTTCCTTCACTCAACAAAACCACAACCGGCCACTGATCTGCCGGAGTATCCTCCACAAGGACGCATACAGTTCGACATTACCTCCTAGAAGACCAAAGAATTACTATCATCATTCAATAGATCCAAACTGTTTTCCCATACATAATTCCGTGTTCTCTGTCTCGATGCTTACAGTGGCAAAAGAAACACAAAATCAATAACTCATCAACTGACAGATAATGTCTATGCCCTTTATCAGAAAGAAATAAACCATCTCGGCAACAAGAGTTTTGGAAGGGATTCTAGACTGTACCTTCCCTGCTGCTTCCCCACAAAACTGTAATTAGGTCAGCATGAGTTGCAACCTTGCTCTGACCACTGATGTCCACACTGGATCATTCCAAATCAGCTCCCACATTTATATCCTGAGTATTATCCTTCGATTTGCTTAGTATCTTCACGTTTGACATGCAACCAGGGCCACCAAAACTAGCACCATTTAGGTGGCTGGAGTCTGTAGAAGGAAACTTTTTGGCCCGGTGAGACTGCACCATTGGGTTAGGGAGATGGTAGGCAAGAAAGACGAGTAAAGAGTGGAGAATGCAGCTGTAGCAGCTATCATCTCTTGTGCCCCTTCTATTAGCTGACTGTAGTCGCCCTCAATCAAGAAAAGCTGAAACCCCACACAACCCACGTGTCTTGAGGTAAGACGCATTATTAAGAAAATCACGTTGGAGTGTAATTCCAGAACCATACCTCTGGATGACCAGCCACATAGTCATTTCATTACAAACATAGTAGTTGTTTGGTCTTAATAACAAGAACCTGTAGTTCAGCATTCCCATTAAAGATGATGGAGTTCATGTTGCTCTGGCAGCAAACACAAAACAAAATTTTACTTCCCACTGAAACTTCCAACGTAAATCAGCACAAGGGAGAGATAGTCACTAGTCGGACAACATATTAATTGCTCAACAAAATAAAGGACAGCATGTTTATTAATCCATGTTCTCCAGCTTACACAAACACATACAGCAAGCAAAGTAAGAATCCATCAAGCAGGTACCACACTCACTCTCCATCTCATTCATCATAAAGCTCCACCAACCTTGCATTGTCCACAAAGCCATTCACTGCAGACCAACTTATAGAACTTCAGTTATAATTTCACTTAATAATATAGAGCAGAAGGACAACTGAAGGAACAATGGGACACAGCTTGCAGACCAACTTTTCTCAAACATGATCACCAATCCATGTATTTACTTTGTTTCCTCTATTAGTCATTCCACAGCTCCCTCTTCTAGGACTCCATTTATAGTTTCACTTAATAATATAGAGCAGAAGGGCAACTGATTGGACACAATTTCAATTGTAGGGACAACGGGACACAACTTCCGTACCAACTTCTTTTCCCGAAAATACGGCCACCAGTCCAGAGCAGAAGGGCAACTGATTGGACACAATTTCAATTGTAGGGACAACGGGACACAACTTCTGTACCAACTTCTTTTCCCGAAAACACGGCCACCAGTCCAATGTATTAACTTTATTTCCTCTATTAGTCATTCCACAGCTCCCTTCTAGGACTCCATTTATAGTTCCACTTAATAATATAGAGCAGAAGGGCAGCTGATTGTACACAATTTCAATTGTAGGGACAACGGGACACAACTTCCAGACCAACTTCTTTACCCGAAAACACGGCCGGTTTCCTCTATTAGTCATTTCACAATTCACAGTTCCCTTCTAGGACTCCATTTAAACTTTTCACTTAACAAAGATAGAGCAGAAGGGCAACTGAGGTAACTAAATGGTCACTTCCACTAAAACCAGCATGGCAACACATATTACCATTTGTGGATCACCAGAATACAATGGCAACAGATGTCCAATGATTGAATGTAAACATTGCATAGGTCAAATTTACTTGCAATTTGCAGAACTTGAAAGAAGCAATTTAGTGATAAACTTAGCTGAATAGAGGGAGAACGCCGACAAGGATTTATGAGGAGAAGCAAGGCTCTACAAGATTGTTTTTTTATTTATATCAAATCTGTGTACAAGAATGTTACTGAGAGGGCCGCATTCCAACCTTCTTAACGCAACAGAGTGCACAGTCATGGCCGCACCAAAACCCTAACTGGCGTGATCAAATAGAAAACCTAATTGTCAAAGAACCCGACCAACAACGAGTATATGGATCACCACCAATTTCCCACATTCCCAGCAACTTTTGCAGATTCCCTATATGGATCACCCACAAGTTCTGTATCAGAAGAAAAAAGATGGAGCCAGAACTCGTGTACCCTAAAACCTTCGGAATTAGGGTTCCCAAAGAAACTAAAAATCGCAGATTCTGAGTTCTTTTACCCACGCAACTAGTTTCAACAAAATCAAGAAAACTTTACCTCTAGCGACAGAACTGGTTCTCCAGATAATCTGGGTAGCATATGCGCAGAATAGCAGAGACGAGGAGGCAACAGGAAGAAGGAAGAGAATTTGACGAATCCCTCACCGATAAACCCCAGGAGAACCTTTCTGCCTGGATATCCGCCGCAAACACCAACACCGATCGAAAGGGAGAGGCACCACTACTCTCTACCGACCACTAAAACCGATCGCAATGAAAGAAACCCGCTGTCGCTGCCGCCACCGCCGCCCCATTGTGGCGAGATTTCAATTCGGGAAGCACCTCTCTGGATCTCTGCAAGCAGTAGCTAGTAGCAGGGATGAGGTTCCAAAATGAAGAGCCTGGGCAACGTATATAGAGAAATTGTAAAATAGAACGTTGTCAACAAACTGGACGCGTAACTTCTACGCTCCGTGTAGCGGAAGTACTACGTGCGTAACTTCTACGTCCCAAATTGGACGCGTCGCAACAAACTTATGTTGACCAAGTCAACCCGCGTATGCCCCACGTATTTGGGTAATTATGCACTTGGGCCTTTTAGGTTATCAAAATTGGGCTTTCAATTTCCTTAAATTATAACTAATTTTCCACCCGCAAACTTCAGCCCAATGTTCTCTTATTTTTTATATTAGATTATATTATATATTTTGTTTTGTTTTGTTTTGTTTTATTTTATTATTAAATATTAAAAGGCTTTTATTTAAAATAGAACTATGACACATACTACTTGCTGGAATCCCACGCAGCCACGTCAGCGCCATATTCCCCCTCCAACTCTCCAACCATTTTGTTTTCTGTTTACTGGGCCTTTTTTTAGAAGATGGGCCTTTTTTTCATGCCAAACCTGGGCCATTTTTTACCTAGTAGATATATATGAGCCATTTTTATCCGTTTTTTAACTTTCTTTTCAGGACAGTTGCTTTGTACGGGTCTCTTTAACTCTTGAAATTTGTAAACCACTATCAGTTCTGGTTATCAAAACTGGCGGTGGAACGGTTAGAGCATTCACATTGGAATTGTATTTTCAATTATAAAATTAAATGGCTTGACTTGTTAAGTAAGTGGAATTGGTGATGGATTTATTGAAATTTGTAAACCACGATCAGTTATGGTTATAAGGACTAGCCAATTGAACAGTTAAGAACATTCATATTGGTATTGCATTTTTCAATTGTAAGATAACATGGCATGGGTGTTTGCAATTTCAAAAACCAATTGCATTGATGTGGCTACCAATTGCATATTCGCAAGTTTGCAACAAATGCAATTGCATACGCAAGTCAAAAAGGCCTAAAAATGGGGGAAAATTATATTAATTCTTCTCTCTTTTACGTTATTTTCTATAATTTAAACATAATATTTAGTTGGGTAAAAAAAAATATTCCAGAACTATTAAGTAACGAGAAATAATAGCCACAACTATGAAAATACTAATTATTAGCCATAACTATTGTTGAGAGTAAAATTATGGCTAACACCCCGTTACCGTTATTAAATTTTTTAACGAAGAAGTTCACGTCAGTAGCCACGTCGGACTACATTTTATTATAATTTAAAACATAAAAAATAAAAATAAACCTAAAAATTGAAGGGTCGTGAGCCTTTCCGCCTGCTTCTGCCTCTCCGCAATCCTCCTCCTCCACGACCCCCCCATCCACCCCCACCCTAGTCACCCCTTCCACGCTTCGCTCCGCTCGCTCGCCGTCGTCTTCTTCCGGTGGTTCGCTCCTTGAAAGAGGAGGAGAAGAAGAGGAGACAATGAAGCTGGTTACTACGCTCCTCCACCACCGCCTTCTTCTGGCCCTAAAGGTTCGATTTTTCCCCTTTCTCCTTCCTTTCACCCCTTTGAATTCCAAACTAGAATAGGCAAATTTTGTCCGGAAAACCCAAAATATCCCCTCGCTAAGTTTGACTTGGGTCTATATTACTCAGATATGCTCCTTCTTCATTATGAAAATTTGCATACCAGATTCTAGAAAATTGATGGAATGGTTTTTTATTAATGGCGTACGATGGCCAATAGCAATAGAACTTGCAGCAGATAGCTCCGTCGCCGCCGGATTGAGTGGTGACGTATATGCCAAAACCGCCATCTAGGCCACCAGCGCCTGCGAGACAGCCAGTGCCACCTCAGCAGCTGACTTACCTGAGCAGCAACAGGGCGTCTAACTTGCTTCGACAAGGTGGGTTCGGAGTGCTTCCCAATGGCAAGGAAGTAGCTATCAAGCAGACAAGGAAAGAGGGCGGAGGAAGACAGGGGAAGAGGGAGACGAGGGTTTTTTTATTTTATTTTTAGAATTTATTTAGTTTTTTCATTTTCTTAAAATAAAAAATGTGGTAAGGTGACTGCCACGTGGGAGCAGCTCAGCATCGTAAAGTTTAGTCAGCATTATTAAAGGAATTGTTAACAGAAAGTTAACGTTTGGCTAATAATTTGTATGTCGATAGTTGTGGCTATTATTCCTCGTTGCTTAATAGTTCTAGCTACTATATTGTATTTACCCTATTTAATTATATATGCAAAAAAATAATTGAGTTGGCAATACAAAGTACAAATGCAGCCGGTCATCCGTACAACTCGGTCAGTCTATTCAACCAGGTCAACCACCACCTCCTTTTTCTTGGTAGGATTTTGAATCGTTTATGTTTTCTTGAATTCGTTACAGTTGAATTTATATTTATTGTTAGATGGAGACTCTATATTTTTTTTTTTTTCAGTCAGTCAATCTATTTATTTTTCATGTCGGCCAATCCATCAATTGTTCACGTGGTTGAAGTAATCTACCCTAATGATATTGACTTGCTCCAATTCCATGAACACTATCCTAAATTCCTAATTGGCCAAAGCAAACTACCAAAACTAACTTGAGAGCTTCAATCTTTCTCTCAAGGATAGAGGATGGTCCATCCATCCATTCCTGGCTGTTAATGCTGGCTGGCTGGGCCTAGAGAAACACATGCCACACATATCTCCAGCAGCCCATTTATGTTTTGGTTCAACTTCAAACACACCAACCACCACACATGTATGCATGGGCATGGCAAATAATTTCATTGTTCTTCGCATACTAATGGCGGAGCTACATAGAGTGTAGGGTGGGCCACGATCCATCTGGGATTAGTCTTGGCCCCTGGGACTTTTAAGGATATTCAGATAAAATTTGCATAGGCTACATAGATAAAATTTGTGTCATGTAATAGTGATGTAGTTTGTTGGTAGATAAACTTTATTTTTATTGAGAAGCACAAAGGTTCGATCCACAACTACCTCACATTTTGATTTAGCCACTCCTTTTTTGTTCCTTTATTACTTTAATCCAACTTCATATGAAAAAGTCAACTTCTATTTATTTTCACTTGGTGATTTTTCTAATTAAAATACCGAACATTCTCCTTTATAGAAACTATATGATCCAGTGATTAACAGAGATATGATTGTCAAATGAATTAAAATGATGAGTTTCTCGTTAATGATTTAGTTATTTATATTAAATGAAAGACAACTAAATTTTTTAGTTTAGATGCTATTTTGAACAATTATCTCAAAGAACGTTGTGTACTTTTAAAATAATTATTTTAATTTTATTTATATTTAATTATTTTTGACCCACCCGGTCTCGAAATCCTGGCTCCGCCCCTCATGTTTCATCTTTTAAAATTTAATATTCGTCGTTCGATAACCTGTTATTTTGGGCCACGATTATTTGAAAAACATTTCTAGTTGATAAGGCAAATAGTTGTTGTTACATATTGTCATGATATGTAGCAACTAGCTTTTGGATTGAGTTAGCAACCATATCAATGTAGAACACCTCAACCGTATGCGTGCCACAAAGAAATGCACAATATTATTTATTACACTATTCATGTTTTTGTCTTAAATAGATCTCATATTTGTCATTCGAAACCTATTATATTTTGTTATGCCTCCTTATATGCCATTTTCATTCCACATAGCCAAACGGTTGTTGTTACATAATGCCATGAGTTTGTAATGATTAGCACTTAGATGGTGTTTGTTTAGCAATCATATCAAGGTAGAACACCCAAACCGCTACTTGTATGCATGAAAAAAATGTATATTATTGATCTTTTGAAACTTAATATTTCTTATTTAGACTCTGAAATTTTCATTTGTAAGGGTCAAACGATTATCTTTACATACTTTCGTGTGTTTCTAGTTATTGGAGATTTTGGTCCTTGCAATATAAGTCTCATCTTAGACCATTGTACCTTCCATTTCCCACTTTTCCTAACAAAGAGGCATTGGTCCTATTATTGACCTCAGAGTAGCAACAACCAAATCCCATTATTTCACACTTTCCATTCATCCCCCACCCCCCTCCAAATTTGCACATCATTTATGGCAATTGGCCAATGTTGTACGTAAAGGCAACAATGACTAATCTTCTAGTACAAATGGTCTTGCTCAAAAAAATAAGAATTTGTCTATTATGTAAATAATTTCTTTGTAAGAACGAACTGATATCATCTATTATTAAGGGTTGAACTTAACGAACAAAGTGTTTTTATTGGTTGATTAATGGACACCGGCTAATACGCAGAGAGTTGACACCATACCTAGAGTTAGGATCGAGCTTGAGCATAGTAACCTGCCCCACGAAGACTGATCAATTTCATTTCCATGAATCGGCACCGGAGACCAATGGACATATGACACCTCAGCAATCCCAGTCTCCACTTCAGAAAGGACAGCAAGAACCACAGAGCCACCAGTTTAAGCACCGAGAGTTGCAAATACAACAAAAATAGTCAATAGGAACCCTTTCAAAAAGATCGTTTTTTCTGCGCTCAAATCCAATGCTGCAAAGCCCAAATCTCTCGTCGCCTTTTAATTATAGGAACCCCATTGTTTCTCCACCACCAGAATTATGCAGGGCATAACAGCATCCGCTGCGTCTCTTTCAATAAACCCATCGCTTAAACCACGAAAACTTCCATACAGAAGCCTCTCCAACCAGAGATTCACTTGCCTTAACCAATCGAAACCCATTTCTCCTCGGCCGTTTCCATGCCGGAAATGGCTGTTCCTCGCGCCAGTCTCTCTCCCTGGAAATGGCGGGTTCCCGGCGGTGGCGGCCAGAGCCGCCGGAGCCCTTTCGGAAAACTCAGGGGAAGACGACAATGACGGCGAGAAATTGACTGGGCTGGCTCGCACGTTGAAGCTGGGGGCCATGTTTGGTGTCTGGTACCTTCTCAACATCTACTTCAACATTCTCAACAAGCAGGTTCTCAATTCTCACCGTCATTTCTCTTCTTCTTCCTCCTTTATCAGATCAAGATTGAATCTTTTTGAACATTTTCTCTGTGGGGGGCTACATTTCTTCAGGTTCTGAAGGTGTATCCATTTCCTGCAACGGTGACTGCCTTCGAATTTGGGTGTGGGACTCTCATGGTTCTCACAATGTGGGGGTTGAAACTCTACCACGTCCCTAAACTCACCCGATCTCAGGTAACTTTCCTTAGAGAAGCTCTGATCAAATGTGTATACCAGCAGCTCTTTTTTAAACCAGGTCGAAAATCGAATAGGTAAGACTAGTTGTTCTAGCAGTGAAAAGGTAAAATCGTATTCATTCATACTCAATAACTCAAGTGGATGAGAGATAGTGAATAAATACTAAGTATTCAAAGCCTGCTAATTTGAAAGCAGATTCTTTCTACAACTCAGAATTGTTGAACAATAGGATGAACAATACATCTTATACTACTGTAGATTTCACTATGATGTCTAGCTTTTTCTTTATTGGTGACTTTACTTTGGTCAGCTTGCAGCAATCATCCCATTGGCTCTGGCACACACAATGGGGAACCTTCTGACCAATGTTAGCCTTGGCAAAGTTGCTGTTTCATTCACCCACACAATCAAAGCCATGGAACCATTCTTCACTGTGCTATTTGCTGCCATTTTCCTTGGGGAGGTAAGGTAAAGTAAATTAATTTATCAGATGGGTCCAACATTCTTTTAGTTCTTCTTATGGTTAATGAACCAAAAAAGTTCATTTCTTGCTAATTTTCGGGGGCCAAAACAAAACAACAACAGAAACCCACAATTTGGGTATTCTCTTCACTTCTGCCCATAGTTGGAGGAGTGGCATTGGCATCACTGACTGAAGCTTCCTTCAATTGGTAAGAATAAGTGACCCAAAACCAAAACGTCCATTACTCTCTCTTCCTCTCTCTTCTATTTTTTTTATATGAACAGAAAGCATTCTTGTGCAAAACAGGACAGGGTTCTGCAGTGCAATGGCCTCCAATGTCACAAACCAGTCAAGGAATGTACTCAGCAAGAAGCTTATGGTTCAGAAAGAGGAAACTCTGGACAATGTCAACCTCTTCTCAGTAATAACAATCATCTCGTTTCTCCTGTTGGTTCCCTCGGCGATCTACATCGAAGGGATCAAGTTCACACCTTCATATCTGAAGTCTGCTGTGAGTCTCTTCTAACATCCCCTACACATCAATGTGCTTCCAGATGACTAATCCACTTGATGAGAGATCTAACTTGTAATGACTGTTTTTGGACGAAAGGCGAATCAAGGGTTGAATGTGAAGCAGCTCTGCTTGAGGTCTCTACTTGCTGGCTTCTGCTTCCATAGCTACCAACAAGTAATCCCCCCTCTCAGGCCTCATTTCTCTCCCCTGCCTCACTTGCATTTCTTTGTTTCCATTGTTTGGGGTACTGAAATGGGTGATTGGGAAACTGCAGGTGTCTTACATGATACTGGGGATGGTGAATCCTGTGAGCCATGCAGTAGGGAATTGTTTGAAGAGGGTTGTGGTGATTGTGTCTTCTATCTTCTTCTTCCACACTCCAGTCACTCCAATAAACTCTCTGGGTATTATTTCTTTTTCATCTTTGGACTTGATTTGATTGCACAGATGCCACTAAACTTGAGGACAGTACAGTGGCGTCTCAGGGAATTGCTTATACCCTTTGATTACATGTTAGGAAGTTCAGTTTCTCTGACTGGTTTGGTTTGTTAACTTTGTCCAGGAACTGCAATGGCGCTGTTAGGAGTGGGTTTGTACTCTAGAGCTAAAAGGATAAAGCCTAAGCCCAAGGCTGTCTGAATTGTGTAAATTTTTTCTTCAATTTGTTGATATATCATGAAGTTAATGAATGAAAAGAATGCATGTGAAACTTTACAGGAATTAGTTATGGAAATGGTTTATGGTATAAAAGAATTACGAAAAATGTAAAGAAGAAAATAATAAATTATAACGAATAGATGGTCATTTATCAGATATTTTAGGTCCATACTATTTTAGTATTTTAATAAGAGAAAGTGTCAAAATAAAAGAAACTATTATAAAAAGAAAACAGTCTTAATTAAACTCATAACATTCCTTAGTTTCGAGAAAACAAAACAAAAACACCTTTAATGTCATTAATGGAAAAAGATATCCCCTTTTCCCAAATGAGTAATGCATTAATAAGTTTCTATGATAACATTCATAACAGCCAAATAAATTATGCATTAATTGATGTAATTATCAAAACTTAATCTTCCCCACCGTTGCCGGCCATCCCCATAGCCGGACCGTCAACCTCGCCGTTGTAACTATCAATCGACATCCCAAACAAATTCGTATTACTGAAATCAGAAAATGACAATTCGGGAATCTCCACATCAGACCCGAATCCTCCGCCTTCAAATCCCCAATCGCTGTCGGCGTCGAAATGGAACGGCTGCTCCGACGCCTCGTGCAGATCATACATGGCGCCGGTGGCAGGCGGACCGGTTGCTGCCTCAGACGACGAGCCGATGACGAAGTTGCTATTCGTCACCCAATTGGACGGCGCGGGAATTTGAATTGTTTCCGTCAATGACGGCGAGGATGGGGAAGTGACGGCGTGGATGTATTCCTTGAGGCCAGCGGCAGAGGCGGAGGGCTCAGCGGATCGGTAGTTCCGGCGGGTGGAAATGGGTTGGCGCCTCTTTGCGGCGTTCCAGTGGTTCTTTATGTTGTTTTCGGTCCGGCCCGGGAGTAGCTCTGCAATTTTGGCCCATTTGTTTCCCATCTTCTTATGGGCCTGGATTAATATCACATCCTCTTCCTCGCTCCATGCATCTTTCTGCAGCCCACAACGCACACCACATTTTATCACAGGCCCATATGGTGAAAATCCTACTAAGCAAAGCCTAAATTGATTGATGATTTTTTTTTTATATATATAGAAACTGATTGATGATTAAATTCAAAATTCAAATTAGTTGATGCATTCTACTGGTGATACAACGCTATAATACAGACTAAAACCGGCTAGTAAACTGTGATGAATAGGGTTGTTTGACGATGTCATAGCACCTATAAAGACTATTTTTATGTGTATCATGTACGTTTTGTACCGCTTTGACTAGTGATACACAATTTTTTAGGGTCCGATCACCTGTTTTACACAATACGATATTACAAATTATGGATATCTCATGGAGTAACTTAAACTACCGTATTTTGATAACGGTAAACATGACCGAATCATGACAAATTTTAACAATTTATCGTGCAACTGTTTTACTAACACCTAGCTGTCACTCTATGAAAAAGACAATTTCGCTCACATGGTAAGCTCATTACTCATTTATGCACCAAGACAAAAAAAAAATCTGATAACAAGTATATGCGCAAGTTCCACGTATGACCCTCGAATGAATGCATGACAAGTGTCAAATATCATTTAAAATTACACGTGATTTTCGTTCTCAAGAATCGAATGGTTATTGATATGGCTAAAGAAGCATTTTATTTATCTTTTCATGCATCATCGAACACTAAAATGTAGAGTACATACAACTTTTTGAAGAAAATATAGTTTGAAGTTGAAGTTAAATAGCAGTCAATTTCAAACAAATGTTGATATGTCCATAGATTGAATGAGATGATTGTTAGATCATATAAAAGGGAGGAATTGATGTAAAATTACCTTGATACAAGGCTTTAGCTGGTTGTGCCACCTTTCTCTACACTGTTTTCCAATTCTCCCACCAATAATACTAGCAATTATAGACCACCTCTTGAGTCCATGCTTGCCTACCAATCGAACCAGCATGCTGCCAAAAAAAAAAATTCATGGAGAAATTGTCACTGCGAATGAGATTGATATCAAAACAACAATTATAAAGAAAATTAGAGAACGAACTTGTCCTCTTCAGCAGTCCATTGGCCTTTGACTACAGATCTCTTTGTAGATTTTGCTGAGAGCGATGGTCCATCCTTTCCCACCTCATCCTCGTCAATCCTTTTCAGTGACGGATTCGGAAAGGCAAGATTATTTTGTTGCGAGGGACCATCATTTTGGTTGAATTTGTTGTTATGAGTTTGAATGAATTTTCCACGATGGTGGTCATGAAATTGGTAGTTATTGGTCGACGTTGAGAACCCGCTTGCTAGATCTCGGACAGGATTCATATCTGATGAGGGGAATTGCGTTGGGAAGACGGGAACATATGAATTTAATTTGTTTTGCGATGAGGTCGATGAAAAAGAGAACCCTTCTGTAGAGAAACTATTAGGATTATTGCTATAGCCCAGAACACCATTGATTGGGGTTTGATGATTGTGATCATCAACCTGAGGGAAATTTTGAACCAGTAAGTCATTAAGAGACTGTGATGGAGAAGACAAGGAAGAGGAAGAAGAAAAAGACGATGTTTTGTGAAGCCCTCCTACGACGCTTTCTGGTCGCAGTCTTTGTTGTATTGGATAACTGTCATCGAGGATAAGACTCGTGAACGAAAACTCATGGTTCATAAGTTGTGTATCAAGATCCATGCGCAAGAAGAAGAAGAAGGAAAAGGAGGAAGAGGAAGATACATTCATAACAGTAATACAACACAGAGTCGCGTTTTATATGGTCTGAGAGATATGTAAGAGCGAGGAGAAAAGGAAAGAAAGTAAATTAAAAGAGCACAAGAATGGAAAGGTTATTAAAGAGTTATTAAAGACGAATCTTAGGGGGTAAGAGACGAGGCGAGAAAATGGTTGACTGAAATGTATTTTAAAACCGAACCACCCACAAAAAACCCAAAACAGTGGGGCTGGGTGGGTGATTAAAGTTAGTGGCCACCCAAACCAAACTCAAATTTCTTTCTATCAATCCGCCTTTCACTCTCACATATTTCCAAGGATTAAAAAATTGTAGGGTACAGGCGGTTCGACCAGAAAAATCTTATATCGGAGGGTAAACCAGAAGGCGGTAGGAAACGATTAAACCACGTTTTCAGCAAAAAATACCCTACCGCTGACTTTTCCAGTACGATTTTACAATCTTTGCTTGTTTCCCCCTTGTTAACAACGTTATGTTAGTTAATTTTTGCTTAGTAGATGTGTGAGAGTCGAAGATGAATGATTTGAATAGTATTATACTTTGTCTTACGAATTAATTGATATTTTATGATTGGATACTTTGAATTCGTATTATGAGTTGTTCTATCTTTATTGATTTCTTAATTTATTAGGTCCATATAGTATTATCCATCCTTATCCCTAAAAAAAAAATCCCTCCATATGAGTTATGGGTATGGGCAGGGGTGGATAGCCATTGGGTCTATACCGGATAGAATTGTATCGAATTGGTATTTGTAGCGGATCGAATCGGATAGAACGTATATCATTTTGATTTTGGTCCTAAAAGTTAGTATGACAGAAAAAGTGGTCCGAAATTGAATTTGAATCGGACTGTGTCGAACCAAATGAAACAAACCTGTTTGAGTCTAGTTCTCGTCCTCAATTTTCATTTATTTTGGCCCGATTTTATCTCAATTCTATCCGATTTCAACTGAATCCACTGATGCTCACACTTAAGTACGAGACAAATATGTATTTGAGTATGTCAAAATTGAGATGGTATGAATTAGAAAACCCACCCCATTAATGGCTTGGCATCAGAAAGGATTAGAATTCAAGGATTTTATGTATTGAAATTGGGATAAATATTGTATTTTAATTTGCTAGACTTTGCTACAAGTTTAAATGTAATTTCGTATTGAGTTCTAGGTTAATTTTGAGCTAATATGAACATTTTATGAGTTGAACCCGATTTTGGGCTCTTTAAACTTATTTGACGAGCCGAGCTCTAGCTTCATAAACAAGCTGAGCTCGAACTTGAAAATATATTAACGAGTCGAGCCCGAACTATAACAAAACTAGACTCGGATCATAACCGCTCTAAATATGAACCACAGCTCCCCACTACAATATGCTTCCCTTACCAAATCCCAACTTCATCAACCCAATTCAACATTTTCCCTCCCTCGTCAAAAAGCTTTGGAATTTTCTTGCCTACTTCCATCAACGCGCAAATGAAGAACCAAGCAGTATTCTCCGACAGTTCCATCATCCTTGCTGCTGCAACACGAGCACAGCAACCGCGGTTTTAGACAATGGGAGAAACAGTTTCCAGCTGGAGCCGCCGGGGGCTTTCTATTTCATCACTCATCAGTGAAAACTTTAACCACTACACCAATGGAGAGTTACTTGTTGTTTAGTTTCCTTTAGTTGTTGGGTGTCATTTGCTGTTAGATTGATTCTTATATTGGACATTGGCGTTTGTTATATAGTTTAAACACAATCCACGAACTTAATAATCCATTTCAATTCAACTCAACTCATGACCCACCCACCCCTAAATCTAATCCTCTGTAATTCCTCTCCTGCTTTGCCTGCGGCCTGCCTGCCCTGTATTCAAGAAAATAAATTAACACTGGTGAATCAGCATATCCAGAAAATCCATCTCCTTTCCCAAAACCTCACCCTCCCCCTCTTCCCCGCCCTTGCCGGGCCTCACCATCGTCGAACTGCCGGCATAACTATCAATCGACATCCCAAATGAATTCGCATTACGATTATCAGCAAACGAAGATTCCGGCATTTCCATAGCCGACCCGAACCTAACGCTGCCGAGTTCAGAATCACTGTCGCCGGCAAACAGGAACGGCGGCTCCGACGCCTCGTTCAGATCGTACATGACGGCGGTGGCAGGAGCTTCGGATTCCCTAGACAACGACGACCCTGCGGCGAAGTTGCCTTTTTTCGCCCAATTCGATGGCGCGGGAGTGAGAATCTTCTTCTCCACGTTGGGCGAGGATAGGGAGGTGACGGTGTGAATGTAGTCCTTGAGGGCGGCGGCGGAGGCGGAGGGTTCAGGGGACCTGTAGTTCCGGCGGGTGGAAGGGAATTGGCGCCGTTTGGTGGCGTTCCAGTGGTTCTTTATGCTGTTTTCGGTCCGGCCCGGGAGTCGCTTTGCAATTTCGGCCCATTTGTTTCCCATCTCCATATGGGCCTGGATTAGCTTCTCGTCTTCTTCCTTGCTCCATGCATCTTTCTGTAACTCACATCATTTACTATCTCAAGCCCATTTTGGTGAAAAATGAAAACCCCTAAGCCTCAAATAATTGTTTGCTAAGACATATAGAAATTTCAAATCTCACAATAATTGTAATTTTTTTTATTTTCACGATTAATTCACGCAATGTTAAATTGATCGCTTTATAACATTAGTACGTACAATACAACGAAACCTAAATGTATCGTATATTACCAGATGCAAACATATCAAACAATAGTAATCAGATGTTCACGTTTATTGTGGAACTCCTTTTAATGTTTTAATTACGTCTAGCTGTCACTCCACAAAAAGACAATTTGGCCTCACATGGTAAACTCGTTACTCTCATGCACCAAGTAAAAAAAAACCAATAGAGGAGAACTCCACGTATGACATCCAGTGCATACAGGACACGTGTCAACTATTCATTGTTAAAATTACACGTCATTTCAGTTTTGAAGAATTAAATGCTTTGAAGAACCGTTACTTTTTTTTGTATCTTAACATGCACAAAGACTGAAATTATTTTTTGAGAAATTTGAAATTGAATCACATAGTACACCACCAAAGCAATGATGATGATGCCATAGACTCCAAATGTTTTTTTAAATGGAAAACTAAGTAATGCAATAAGATAATTGATAGAAAGGGTGGAACTCATTAATGTTATTACCTTCCTATAAAAAAAAAATTAATGTTATTACCTTGATATCTGGCTTCAAATGGTTATGCCACCTTTCTCTACATTGTTTTCCAATCCTGCCACCAAGTATCCTAGCAATTTGAGACCAACTCTTGAGTCCATGCTCGCCCACCAATTGCACCAGCATTCTGAAAAAAACCATATGAATTAGATTGATCCCAAATAGACCATAGTAAAGATCAAATTAGAGAACTAACTTGTCTTCTTCGAGGGTCCATTGGCCTTTGAATGCAGATCTCTTCGAAGGCTGCCCTGATGAAGATGATCCATCTTTCCCCTTCATCACTAGCATTGATGAATCTTCATCATTACTTTGCTCCTCTTGAATTTCTTGATCTTTCTCCATCGTGCCATCCTCGTCAATCCTTTTTAGGGAAGGATCGTTGTTTAAATTGATCTCGTCGTTACGAGTTGGAATGAGCAGTTCGTGACTATGGTAATGGAAATGGTAGTGGTGATGGTGGTTGTTGTTGGTTGATGACGGTGAGAACCCCCTTGCTAGATCTCGAATGGGATCGGTACTCGAAGGACAAGGTGGTGTTGGGAAGACGGACGAACACGATTTTGGTTTGTTTCGAGATCGGGTCGATGAAGAAGAAGGAAATCCTTCCGTGGAGAAGCTGTTAGCACCATTGCAGTAGTCGAGAAACCCATTGATTGGAGTTTGGTGGGGATGGTGATGGTGATCATCAATGTGAGGGAACTCGTCTCTCGTCAGTTTTGTGTTGAAGTCCATGCGTAAGAAGAGGAGGGAAGAAGCACAGACAAATAGTCGGGGACACAATTGTTTTTTTTTATGGGTGGAGGAGAGAGAGGGGGAGAGGAGAAAAGGAAACAATATAATTATATGAAGAGACTACATGAAGAAGAAAAAAATGTTGTTGGGTTTATATTTAAAGAGATACTTAAGTGGGTGAGAGGTATGAAGGAGGATTGACTGTAACTACACCCATCAGGGTAAATTGCAAGGTTGGTCACTAAAAGTACTAAAAAGTTCACGTTTGGTCACTAAAAGTATTTTATTTCATTTGTGGTCACTGAAAGTGGTTAACGTTTCACCTTTAGTCACTCTCCGTTAACACCGTTAGTATTTAGCTGACGTGGCTAACAAAAATACTGATTCACCCATTTTTAACTCTCCACATCATAAAACCTCACCCGCCACATCAGCATAACCCAACCCATAATCTGGCCTTTCCATCTCAACCCACGCAGCCCAAAAAAATCCAACCAACCTTTTACCAAAAAAAAAAAAAAAATTAAACCTTCTGTTGCAATCCCTAACTCCCTCAATCTTCCAATCCACGAATCTCCATCGCACACACCAATCCCCCGAGCAGTTCCCTTCCCCTCCGATAAAGCATCGCAGCCCAAATCCCCTGAGCAGGTCAGGGTCGAGATACTGTCCAAATCCCTCCCCTACCTGAAACTTAAGGTCCTGGTGGTGGAGAAGTCGGCGATTGACTCGCCGGCTCTTGTTCTCGAGCAAGAGGTGGTGGAGAAGGCCGAGGAATCGAAGGACGGGAGGAGCTCGTTGCGCCGGAAGTGAAATTCCACCGATGATGGTTCATTGGGGTTGGAAAATGGTGAGTTCTCAATCTCTTAGCTCTGGAAATAGAATACCTGATATCCAAATTCAGAGCTTTCTCTCTAGCTTTCTCATGGTAACATCTAAATCCCATCATCCCATATTCCTCTTCTTGTTCGTCCATTTATAGGTTTGTTTGTGTTCAACGTTGGATTTGGGGAAATGGGGTTGGTTCTTTCTCATGATTGAGAGGCGATGGTTGATCACATGGAAGGTTGAGCTACCAGTCTAGGAGGTGCCAGTGTGGGCAGACAAGGAAGAGGAGAACGACGTCATGGCAGGCGGTGGCGACGGAGGATAGCAGGCGATGGCAATGGAGGATTGGGTCGAGCCGGGTTGGGTTAGGGGTTGAATAGGTTGGGGTATATAGAGGGTCTGACGGGGTGGGTAAAAATGAGTGAATCAGCATTTCAGTTAGCCACGTAAGCAAAATACTGACGGTGTTAACGGAGATTAACGAAGAGTGACCAAACGTGAAACTTTTCACCATTTTCAGTGACTACGAATGAAATAAAATACTTTTAGTGACCAAACGTGAATTTTTTAGTACTTCGAGTGACCAATCTTGCAATTTACCCACACCCATCAGTTCCATGCTCGTATCACTTTCATTTAATTTGCTTTGATGATCATTCATCTCAATACGCAGCAGCGCAGGGAGAGAGGATATACGAAGTTGGCACTACCAAGAGGTTCCGACTTTCTTAAACGGCTCCAAGCAGCAGACTATCTTATGATTAGCATGTACATACTTGCAGGGTATTTTTTAACCGATTATTTCAACCAGCTTAGGGACGGAAATCAACTTAGAGCCAGTCACACACTCATACTTCGTAACAAAGCACGAAATTGTACAGGGTGTATACTTGAAGCATGTACATACTGTATTAGGGTGTCCAGTAGCCAACAAAAAAGGCTATAACTCGAACCACATGATCTATGCATTACCCTCATTCGTTAGGGACAAAGAAGCCTCCTCAAACATATGCATTTCATGGTCCTCGTAATAGAAGAATGAAATTTACCTTACCATATGTCATTAGTTACGATATGGCTCGCCAGTCACCACTCACATTAAAACCTACAAGACTACCTGAAGCTAAAACAGAAACCCTGATAGACGAACAGTCCGAAGAAAAGTACGTACAACAACTGAAAGGCGGTGTTCCAAACAGAACCTAAACTTAATACAAACATGAACACATATTTCTGTCTGTGACGCCAAACTTCCACACTACATACACATGCCCATAGTTTACCTTCCAACCTTTAAACAGAGTTCACTAACACAAAACAGAGTTCCCAAACTAAACAAATTTTCATCAAAGAGTGTAATTTGCCGTACTTCTGACACTCCCCATCCAAGATGACCTTCAGAGTAAGGTAAGTGTCGTACAAAAAATGGAATTACCACCGTCCTTGTTCAGATTCCTTTACCTGGTTAGTACTAGTAGTAGTAGTACTAGCAATAATACTGCTAATAGTAGAACACCCGAGATGCTTCTGTGTGGTGAGACCTGTTCAGACCTGATCATGTCTTCCTCGCCATCTTCCCCGTAATCACTACATCTTCCCATCCGTATCTAGGGACTTTTACCACCACCACCACCGTTCCTGCTACGCTCCATCATCGCCATGTGAAAACTTCCACGACCGCCAGCAGGTCCAGGACTCCTACTCCGGCTGCGATCGCGGCTCCACCCTTTACTAGCAGGGCGCTCGCTCCAGCTAGACCCCTTGTCCGGTCCTCCTCCATATCCATCACTAGGACGACTATCATACCTGTAATAAGAAAGCAAGTAATTAGTAAGAGTTACCATTTTCATATAGGGGTGAGCAGCAATGGCCAGTCCAATCAATAATCTGGCCGGATTGGCAAGAACATGAAAAGGGAAGTTGAGGACCAGAATACGAATGAAAGAGCATTATATGCGATCTACTCCAGCCTGGTGTCAATTAAGTCCAACCAAAATCTTTTCTTTGGGAAATTGTAGGGAATCAGAACCAAATCCAATTACTACTTTTTTCAGTCTGAACTATCAATTCAATCCAGTCTAACCTAAAGATTGCTTACCCCTACAACACAAGTTTAGACAGGAGAAACTCTACAAATTTTGAATCCAGGAGGTGGTAGATGTTACAATCCCACATTATTGCTAAACTAAACCTTGGGTCTTTTAACTTCCTAGTAAATATTGAGGATGATAAGGTATAGTGTACCTGTTAGATGAACTAGGAGCCCAACTGCCCCTGCCGGCATCCCTCCCACCGAAACTGAAATCACCACGACCACCACCACCACGGCCACCAGAATCACGACCTCCACCATTGCCGTTACCCCATCGTCTATTTCTACCAAATCCCCCACCACCTCGCAAGGCCAAATCACGGATCTCCGGAGGAACCTTCTGGCTTGCACCCTCTAATACTTTGATGAGGTCTGAGGCATATTTGGCATCCTGCTCACCAAAGAATGTATAAGCTATACCTGTAGCACCAGCTCTTCCGGTTCTGCCAATCCTATGCACATAATCTTCCACGCCAGTAGGAAAATCATAATTGACAACCACCCTGCCAGAAGAAAAGAAGCAATTAAGTGAAATTGCGAATTCAAAGAAAAGGATCATATTTTTCACATTTAAAGCCAGAGAAAAATACAGACACAAGCATAGACCATGTTAATTATAATACCCTAGGTGGCACACGAAAAATACATTAGGAAAATCATTTACACACTCAGCAAATCCTTCAAACTAGGGTAGGAACCTTCCAAAGTTATCTCATCACCCACGCATTAATAAGATCACCGAATCGTCATTCACCAAATCCCACAAAATAAGCGAGTGTCATCAAGCAACGGCAATTAAAAAATCAGAGGTTTATTCAAAGTACGAAGGAAAATGAAAGCGGTACCAACCTAATATCCTTTACATCCAGCCCCCGAGCAGCGACATCAGTAGCTACAAGCAAAGGAGCCCTCCCTGATCGAAACTGACTCAGCACATGATCCCTCTCACCCTGTGATTTGTCTCCATGGATAGCAGCAGCTCCAAACTGACGAGAAAGGTTACGAGCAAGTTGGTCGCACATTTTCTTGGTTGAACAAAAGATGATAACCTTAGATCCCGGTTCCTGGGAGCGTAGTATCTGCTCCAAACGCCTGTGTTTCTCCATGGATGCCAGTACCTCAACATGCTGCAAAAAGATCGTCCAATTTTCAGTCAGTATGTCAACACTTCTGCATGAACAAAATTCCTAGTAGAAAGACTCTGCAAATCATAAGTAGCAAAATTTTCATAGACCAACAGACCTGTGTGATAGACTTGTTTGCCACAAGCTCATCGACATTCCCAATATTCACTTGGACAGGATTGACCAGAAGATCTGCAGCAATTTTCCGAACCTCCTTTGGCCAAGTTGCTGTGTACATGAGGGTTTGACGACGGGAAGGGACCTCCTTAACTATCTTCCGTATTTGAGGCTCAAACCCCATATCCAGCATCCTATCAGCCTCATCAAGAACTAGGTATGATACCTGACCAAGGCTTACTCTTCTCATCTCCAAAATGTCATTCAGACGACCAGGAGTTGCAACAACTATGTCAGTTCCTCTGTCTAACTGACCTAGTTGTGGACCCTTAGGTGCTCCTCCATATAAACACTGAAATAAAGGACATGTTACAGATGCCAATTACATATAACTCTCCCAGGACAAATAATAGATAGTCGCACTACAAAGAATACACTACACCCTAGACACCACACGCACAAAAATATAATCTGCTACCAAGTGAGAAGGACTCGGTACCGAACTGCTATAAGCAAGCTGAACTGTAGAGCAGACAACTTATATTAAAAAAATAAATCAAAAAGGAAAGGCAAAAGTAGTTCACCGTGCAGCCAATTCTTGATGACTTCCCAAACTTCACAGCCTCTTCTTGAATCTGTGTTGCCAATTCTCTTGTAGGTGACAATACCAGGATAGTCGGACCCATTCGAGGGTCATTGCGAAGACGCTTGAGATGGAGAAAGGCAGGGATCAAGTAACCTAGGGTTTTACCAGAACCGGTTTTGGCAATGGCCACAATATCTCTACTCTGCATAACAACAGGCCATGACTGTGCCTGAATTGGAGTTGGGGCAGAGAACCCAGCACTGTATACCTGGAAAAAGAAAAAATCCAGCAATTTTCAACAAGGCCAAGACTGGCTTCAAGATTTTCTGGTTGAATTCTTTTCAGATCTATGATGGAGTGAGTGGCTAATGGCAGAAGAAGCACCATCCCCCACATGCAGTCGTCAGCGCTTGCTAAATGCAAGCTCTAGCAGGAGGAGGCCTCTTCTTCTGATATTGACCGAGTGGCGTGCTATATCATCACCAATTGGCAGTAACAGCCACGAACTTTGGGGATTCGGAAAGCCCTTCTCAAAATTTGTCCAGCAAAATAAGGGCGCTCCAAATTACAAGGGACCCCCAAAGAAAGGGCAACACAGCGTACGACATTAGCTCCACCAGGAGCAAATATCGCACCTGCGACAAAAAAGTACATTGCAAAAAATTATTAATGAGCATTGCGGTCCCCAGCCATTAGAAAATCTTAGCACATGAAACCGCAACTTCATAGTTTCATTAACTTACAAACTTAAGGTGATATGTTTACTCAGCCAAGATAGAATGAAGAAACTGAAAAATAAATCCATACCTCTCTTAGTAACTCGGAAGGGAACCCAGTGGCTTCAAATGACATAAGAGGTGGTGGCACATCACCACCCTGCAAAACAATCGTAATAAAAGATCAACAACTATAATCTCAATCTTGAAGAATACTAGTCATTTACAATCACAAAAGAACAAATGACAAGTTCAAGTTTCTGCATCCTTAATTAAGGAAAGATATACGAATCCTTTAAAAAGTTGAAATAACTGATAAATAAAGTTTGCCATTCCGTATTCTTATCACCCAGGACTAAGTTGGGTTCACAAATGTCTAATTGCAGATGTTTCAGAAATCAAGAGAGAATTTTTTTTATTTTAAATTTGCCTTATTCATGCAACTGACTATCAATTTCTCATTTTTTGGATCTGATTGCAGTAATCGACCAGGTACCATTTTTCCACAGGAAATTAATTAATGAAGGAGAATCGTTATTCGATATCAGGTTGAGTACTACTGAATACATACACAAGGAATACATGACAAGGTAAAAATCACTCTGAGACCAAGAACAATAGTTAGATGGATAGATTAAAGTAATAAGGTACAGCAAGCTGACTCACTGTGACAGTAATTTCATGGCGACGCCTGTATGCCTCTGCTGATAAACTGTTTCCACCTGCTGAGGGTGCAGGTCCTCTGGCAGCAAATCCAACAGAGTCATTGATTGTTCCATTTTGTGAAACCAAACTTCTTTCATTCTGAGGGGTAAAAAAAGCACAGTAGCCAACGAAAAGCACAAATTAGTATAGAACTTATAATTCTAAACTTCACCTCTGTTTCAGGGGAGAAGATAATGGCAATACATAAAACAGAAAGCACGTAGGAGCCACAAGTTATTTTTCAATAATCCAAAGTTCTCAGAATGTGATACGTGCACCATCCTATCTACAAATGGGGAAGGAGAAATCACTTCCAAGAAAGACAACAAGAACTTCACATTTGGGCTAACATAAGTGGGAATGGCAAGTTAACACGGACCTGGATACTCCTTGCTACAGTTTCAGTTCTAGTTGGTGCACCATTGCTACTCCTCCCATACCTATCATCTTCTTTTTCAGGACTATACGCACGGCGAGAAGGCTGCTGTACCTGCACTGAGGAATTGATGGGCACCGAAGGTGGCTTGGATGGAAGAGATGGTGCAGAAGGCTTCTCGTATTGTGTCACATTAGTTTCTGGGTTCCAATAATAAAGGTACCCAGTTTTGCCATCAACCAATCCTCTCCATGGCTTGGGAAGTGTAGGGTCTTCTGGCGCAAACCGTGGAGCAGCAGCAGTAGCAGCAGCCATGTCGATCGAAACCAACAACTTTGATACCACAACCAAACTACATGCAACCAATTCAGCAAAAGTATTAGATATGTACACCAAATCCGCAAGCAAACATTCAGAGATATAAAACATCTTACAAACATTCAGATATATATATAACATCTCACAAACATTCATTTCCAAGAAACATTCAAACAATGAACTGCCTTGTGATTATTCAAATTAACCGAGGTCGTATCAGAACAAAATCAAACAGATAAATACACCAAAACAGAAAGCAATTATCCTAGTTCCGTCTAGTAACTGAGACAACAACCGTTCCAGCCTCATTCTTATCGGAAAAACCAATACATGAGAAGTATGCCTCCAATTCAACGTTTAATGAACCATACCTTCATCTATCGGCCATATAAACGCAATACACAACCCTAATTTCCCCTCATGGACCCAGAAATCAAAAGAACCACACAAACCCTACCGAATCGTACAGCAGAAAACCCTAGGATTCTACCGCCGGCCAGAGGGAAGCCAACGAGATAAGGAAGGGAAAACCAACAACCACGAGCACGGAAGAAGAATCAGATCTGAGACATGTTACCGAAATGGGAAACTTCAAAAAATGCCTGATGAAATCGGAATCGGAGAGAGGATCGTACCGAAAGAAGAAGAGATCGATTGGTGGCGAGATTCCACGGACGGCAGGTGTGGCTATGAGAAATTGGGGCGGCTGGAAACTGCCTAGAGCTTTTTTGTCGTCGTCTATATATTTGTTTCTCTCTCTCGATTTTGCCTCTTTCGCTCGCTTCTCTCCCTTAGTCCGCAGGGGGGACGATACGCGGTGCAGAGGGAGGAGATGGAGCTAGAGAGATGGAGAGAGAGTGCGGGAGAAGAGATGGTCGACGCGCAAGTTCTGATATTTATAAACGGGAAGTTGGCTGGAGTTTGCTGACGTCACTTTCAGATATTTAGAAAAGTTTGTGAACTGGCTGGTGCCCGCCGGTGTAGTTCTGGGCTGACCGGCGGCAGCTTGCCAATGCCACTTAACCGACTGACATGATACGGTATGGTTAATGGGTTGGTTTTGGTAATCATGGATTTTTAGTTCGACTGAGAGTTTTTCATGATGTGTGATCAATTAATAGGTGAAAGAAATTTTGTTAATAAAATTTTTTTATGATGTGTGATCGATTAATAGATGAAAGAAATTTCGTTAGTAAAGCATTTTTCATGATGTGTGATCGATTAATAGATGAAAAATTTTCATTAATAAAAGTTTTTCATGATTCGTGATCGATGAAAGAAATTCGTCAATAAAGAAATTGGCATAATTCAAAGTAAATCATATTTCTATTTAATGTCTTTCACTTTGCTTTATGTCATGACTTTTTTTTTTTTAAGTAAATGGTGTAGTGCGAATCGCTATGATTAGTATGGTTGGGAGCTGTTATTTATCTCCAACCAATCAATGTCGAGGAAACTAGTGTTACCTGAATATATAATGGGTATGGAAACTAACTTTGAAAGCTATCATTGTATCTATGCTAAATAAATCTTGATATCTGTTGTTTCTTAGCATTGTCGACTTACACAAACAAACAATATGTAGTTGTTGTGATAGACAATTTGAATACGAAATGCGCGATGGACCTGTGATTACTCTAAAAGTTTGAGCTCGAGTGTTGCATCTTTGCTAATAAATACATATATTACACGGTCTAAGTAATAAGTGTATTTTCTTATATCTTACAAATGGTTGACTATTCCTGTGATGTTATACTTATTACTCTTATTTTGTTTGTTGATTGCTTCCACTTTAAACAATGAATGCTATTGTTCCCTTAAGAGGTTAAATCTTTCTTCTTTAAAAATATTAAAGCAGTTTCAGTTTTTACCCCCTGCCACGTACCCTCAACTAAAACGAGCGCTGTCCACGTCAGCATGTATATTTTCCGTTTTTTGGTTTTTTGTTTTTTCCGCACGTGCAGCAAATTTCTCCCCTTGCACGGAGATGAATTTTCCCTGGCTCCTACTGTTTTCTTCTCCCGCCAACTCCAAGAAGAATCGCACTGTTCCTTTCCTTCTTCCCATCTCCAAATTTTTTACAGCCCATACAGAGTTTTCAGACCAATCACCAAAGACCCTTTTAAATTTGTATACAATTCTTCCACACATTTTATCTCTATATATATAAAATTCTCACACACAAATGAGTTATATGAATTAAACTAAATTCTAGCTTTAACCATTGTGGCTACTGGTGAGCTTATGCCTTACCCATCCTGTGCAGTATTATTTTCCTGGTGCAATGTTATTTATATATTTTTAAAAAAAATGTGAATACCTACTGTTGTAAATGTTTATAGTAATTTTGAAGGAAAAAAAAGAAAAAAATCCCAAACAATACACATGTCAAACCAGGGATAGACGAACTTATGTTTCATATTTTAGGAGGGAATTGTTTTTAATGCAATTGTAAGAAAAACATTTGCATTTGTAATTTTTTTTCGCCATCTCAATTTTTTTTTTCAACCTAACTCATACTACTTTAATGCAGCTAAATCAATGCAATTAATTTGCAATAGTATATGGGCATAACTTATTTTTTTAGAAAAATAAAAGGTATATATGTTTATTATTTTATCCAAAGCTAAAATAAAGAATCCATGATGAGTATGTGGAATTGCGAGAAATGATAGCTTGCATTGTTGCAATCAACACTTCTATCAATAGAATACAAATCTAATGATATTTCCATTTTCATGTCATTTTGCAATTGAATATGATAACTTGACGTGGATGCTCTAAACCAATTAAATAGAATTACTTGGTTCAAAACACAAGTTAAAAGGCATTCTCGACCACTCTACGTGGGGCCAACTGAGCATCCGCATCAATGATATTTTCTCAATTGCATATCCTACATGGAACTTAATATGCAATCGCAAAAAGGATTGCATCAATGTAGTGGACAATTCCAAAGATGCAAGCTTGCATTAAATGAAATTTAAGATGAAAGCCACGTAGGAAAATAATAAAACAATAATTTATTTTGTTCCTTGATTTATTTATTTTTATTTAATATAAAATCACTTAAACCGTCCTATGCAATTGCAAGTGAATTACATTGATAAAGGTTTAATAAAATAAACTTGAGTTGGATTGCATAAATTTTGAAATAGCAATAAAAAATAATATGCAATGAATTTTACAATTATATTGATATGAATGCTCTAATCTTTGCACCATCCACCTTCCATTGCAGGTTTACAACAATTAAAATTCAAATAATAAAAAAATCCTCCCAATCGACACTACCACCAAAACATAGGCACAAAACCAACTGCATCTTCAACCCACATCACCGACAAAAGATCTTGCTACCTTCAAATAAAATCAAATTCAAACCCAGCAAATCACCGCATCTTTTCGGCCATTTCAACATCCAAACAACTGCCAATAACCCACACTCTACCAACGATGATGCACTATTTAAGAACAATGTATCTCGCCCAAGAGCCATTGCGTGCAATATTCAATCTGTACACAACTACTATAAACGACAGTTCCATCAAAGCGAAAATCATCAACGTTTTGCAGCAGCATCTCATAACTCAACCATTTCAATCGATTATCCGTTCAGTTGTCGGAGGCGAAGAAGGGATTCCAACATATATCCAACATGGGAGCATCACAATGGAAAACACACTGCTGGACAGTCTTGAAGAAGGACCTTTTCAAGGGCAATTCGAACAAGAGTTTCCGGAATGTGGGAGCAATGCCAGTGAACATCAAAACCAAAGTCCTCATGCATTTGGACATCATTTTGATGGTTGAGAAGGTACTAAATCCAAATCTTTACCTTCAATTACCAACAATTAGATCCTATGAAAACATCATTCATCTAATATAATCCTGACACCATGCAGGTACATGATTGTGCTTTTAGTGAAGAACGGAACCAATACAACTTACTTTGTAAACCTATATCATTCCAGAAAAAAGATCTTCAGTGTCACACCGGAACAACTATTCAATGTCAACAACTGTGATATGCTTTAATATTTTTTTTAAACATCTGAAAGTTTAAGCGAATTGTAATGTACCAAAAGCATGTACATACACCGATACACGTAATTAGTTGCGTTTTAAATAAATGGAATCAAACATGTGGCAATAACACCCGGCCAACGGCCGGGCAACATGCTAGTAGTAAACTTAGTGATGTTTAACTGAAATATTGAAGTGATTTTCGTGATATTAAATGTTTCATTACTTGATGATAACTAGTTAGTATTTGGTTGTTAAATGTTGTCAACCTTGAACAATGAATGTTGATTCCCCACTATCTTTTTCAGGGAGATATGTGCAATTTCAAACAACTCATCCTTGAGACCTTGACCTAACAACCAACTATTTTATTGATGTTTAAATTAAGTACAATGTTAACGATATTCTCACTCTTCGCTTTATTCTTCTCTGATAAAAAGAAAAGAATAAAACATAGGGATTCAATTAGGATATTTACACAAACACACGGACCGCATGGGAAGTTCATATAACATTGAGGAGGCAGATAGTAAATTTTCCATTCAAACCAAGGGTACCTAGCTAGTGCCTACTATCCACATTCCACAGGCTACAGCTTCCTGCTTCTGCTTCAGCTTGGCTCTGGTGCGACCATGGCGGCCTATGCGGCTTCCGTAGGTTCTTCTTCTTTACTCCGACGAGCTCTCTTTCTTCCCATTTCCCATCCCCGTCCGTCGTTCTTCCAACTCTTCTCAGCTTCTCGCTTCAATTCCTCCACCAGCACCACTGCCGTTACCCGCCCAAAACCACCAATTTGCGTGGCCGTTCGCGGTGGCCAGACCAAGCGAGGTGGGTCCTCGTCCAAGAACGACGAACTAGCTACTGGTAAGAAACTCCCTAAGTATTATATGAGCTAGTGGCGATTGACTTTGCTTTCGATTTGTCTCACTCTTCATTTGGCGGGGAATCTTTTTTACTAGCTTCTGATCTTCAATTCGAGACGCCGCTTAAAATTGTCGAGTACCCAGACCCTCTACTGAGAGCGAAGAACAAAAAAATCGGTACTTTTGACGAGAACTTGAAGAAATTGGTAGACGAGATGTTCAGTGTTATGTACAAGTAAGTTTCTCTACAGTTCCAAAAACCATATGCGAAAAGAACTTCTTGGTTTTAGTTTTGGAAGCTCTTGTTTCTGGTTTCACTATGCTGAATGCATATCAATCTTCGCTGGTGCTTTTTTGATTAAGCAATGAGATAGGATAAAAATTGAAACTTGTTGGTATTCCTTATTGGCAGAACTGATGGGATTGGACTGTCAGCACCCCAAGTAGGAGTGAATGTTCAGCTAATGGTTTTTAATCCTGCTGGTGAACCGGGTGAAGGGGAGGAGATCGTGCTCGTTAATCCGAGAGTTAGTAAGATCTCAAAGAAGAGGGTGCTTTTCAATGAAGGATGTCTTTCCTTTCCTGGGATATATGCTGATGTAGAGGTGGGTATTCTTTTATTTGTCATTTGTCTTTCTGAGTGCTACCATGATCATAAGTAGTACATAAGTTGCAGTGTGGGTAACTCAAACTTTCTTTGTTTTGTTCTCTCACAGAGACCTGAATCTGTAAAAGTTGATGCTATGGACATTAATGGTGCAAGGTTTAGTATCAGCTTGTCGGAGCTTTCAGCTCGGGTTTTCCAGCACGAGTTCGACCACTTGGAGGTGCTTCATATAGTCAACAGTACAGCTTTATTACCTTTACCATAAAATATTCAAATCTTGAATGAATTTTTTTTTCTGTTTTTCAAAAGTGGAGTGCCATGTCCTTTGTTAGCTTTGATGAAGTTGTACATGTGAAAGTATTTTCTATGGACACCTGAAACTCGAGCAAATTTTTTTTCCTGTGAATCAAATGATTACATCAAGTTGAAGTTCCTAGTACTCTTGATTTACGGTATCAGTCATTTGGCGTCAAGTATGAATCTGTTGGCTGAGATGGCTTCACTTGCAGGGGATTCTTTTCTTTGATAGAATGACAGGAAAAGTACTCGAAACTATTTTTGCAAAGCTACAGGTCAGTGTAAGAATGACACTGATTACCAAGCTTATGGTTAATTTCCAGTCATCGCAATTGCTTACATTTCTTTTTTCTTTTACTGCATTTGTCAGGCCTTAGAAAAGAAGTACGAAGACAAAACTGGACTCGCTAGCCCTGAAAAGGTACAAGCACCGATAAAAAGAGTTGCTGTGGGCTTTGGAAAGTCATGATTTTGTACACTTGGCCTAGGCAGATAAATCAGGTATCATGGAAAGCATAAATCAGACCTAACTTTCATTTACATGTTTCTTTCTATCTCTTATTTCACTTGGTCTAACTATGTGAATTTCGAACCCCAGGTTCAGTTTGATGTTATTCTTATCGTCATCAAAGCTTCCGCCACTTCTCTATGCCACGCTCAGAAACTATGTAGAGCTGGCAAGTGGACCGAGCATCACCATGCTTTGTGAGATAGATTGTTGGTTAAAAGTGATAGGGTAATTTAGTTGCTGGTATGGAAATTCTAGGTTCTGGGGTCTCCAGATATATTGAATATGCTATAGGCTCTTGTACCAATATTCTGAAATAGTTGTTGGAAGAACACATTTTTCTGAGGACCAGTTGCTGTAATATCATCTGTTGTTTTATTGCACGTTCTTTTTCTTACATTTCTTTGTAACCATTGGAAAAACATATCTAACACTTTAATCTGATAGAAAGAACACAAACTTTATCTACTTCTACGTCTAGTATTCACTATTCAGTAATAATGGATGCAAGCTTTCTAAAGTAGTACTGATTCACTTTTTTGCTTCTGGCTAACATTGCCTACTTCATTGGTACATACGCATTATGTATCATACAATACATGTTGCCACCTTGCAACACCAGGCTAAGCCAAGCAACCGTAAACCGGAGGTTTCACTTTGCCTTTTCTCAGGCATGTAACTGGAGGAACAGTGATTGTTTCAAGTTCCCCATATGCATTCAAGCAGTAAGGCTGTTCAGTTTCTTTCCTTGAAGTGAGCTCTATATTACTCAGGGATACCCCACTGCAAGGCATGCTGTCACTACAGGCAAAGTGCACAGGTTTTACTGTGTACGTGCCTTTTATGTTCACATAGTTTATTGCAGATACAGAGACTGCCGACGAGTCATTTCTGCAGTGCTCTTTGTCACAGTAGAATTGGTCGATGACTATGGGGGTTTCAACTCCAGAAACTTGAATGTTGGAGAACATGATTCCCTGGACCGAGCCTGAGCCTCCCTGCAGTTGATCATTGAAAGAAAGGTCAGTTGCTTGATTCAATAGCCCTGAAAGTTCATTGATTATAGATGGCGTTGGCTAATGTGTCAGTTTGGTGGATTGGGTTTCGTGAGATTTGGGTTAAATGGTTTATTGACTAACAATGATGTTACCTACCTGCCATGTCTTTATTCTCACTCCGGTTAGTGTATTCTGAATCTCCACATCTCTCACAGTGATGTTTGAAACACAGGCTTTGCTGCCGTCTTTTCCCAGCCCTCCTATGCTGATTCCATGCCCAGGTCCACACCTCACATTGTGTATATTTACGTTAGAGCATCCTGTTTGTATCGAGATACAATCATCCCCTGTTCAAGCCAACCGGAAAGAGTGTAGTCAAATAACCATTTTTTTAAGTCTTCTATTAGGTTATATGCATAAAATGATTTGGCAATTACCGCACTGAAGATCAGTGCTGTAGATGTTGACATTTCTGGAGTTCTGCAAGTGTATGCCATCAGTATTCGGGCTGTTACCCGGAGACGATGCTGTAAACCCAGAGACCTCAACATTTGTGCAGTCATCAAACTTGAGGTGGGTTTGAGGGCTGTTTTGAATGGTTATGCCAGAAACTGTGACGCCAGTGCTCCCATAAAACCTGACTGCCTGCATAGGTACGGCAAATCCATGACCTCTCTCTGTCAATGATCTCCCCATACTTGAATCAAGAAGAAATATCGGCAGGATGATTTTACTTACTGTTGGTTTGGTGCTGCTGTGTAGCTCACTAGCTAGCTGTTGGGAATCAAATTCAAGTTAAAACCGGAAACTAAGAAGCTTTTGAAGTAGCAGGGTTTGAGCTTGTTTGAGGTTCATAAAGAGACGGTTTACATACCTCTGCTCCTGGATTATATTCTGGTGAGTCGTACCACCAAGCCGAACCTTGTCCTTCAATGATACCTGTTCCTGTGATTGTGATCCCCTGGAGTTTTGTGAACTCTATCCACTGTAAAAGCCTTGTGCTACTCCATAATTCTGAACTGACTATTGCTTTGATTTCACCGTCCAGCTGCAAATAGACCCAAATAGAAGTTTCTTTATTGCATTGAACCCTCACAGAAAAATGGAGTTCTTTTAGGAATCTTACTTGAGATTTACCTGAAATATGAGGTTGGATGCGCAGTCTGGACCAGAAAAGGAGATGGGTTGAAGAAGGAAAACATAGCCCGATGGAACCTCAATGGTTGATCCTTCAACTTGACAAGCCTCTGCCCATGCCGACTCGAATGCCTGCATTTACATCAACCAGTTCAGGTAATCATTTTCTTGTGGCCAATTCCGTCTTATTTTTGTGGGTTTAATGTTCAAGTTGTACTCTCAATTAGCTTTTAGGGATGGCCATTTGATGTTTTGATCGAATCGGACCAGAAGAAAGTAGAATACGGTTTGGTTTTGACTCTCAAATTCAAGATTTTTACTCGATAGACCAAATCAAATCGAATACGCAGTTGATTTGGTTGTGGCCCAATCCTGGACCAGACTGCACCATGCCCATCTCCCTTAGTTTGTAATCTTTCTTAGTGTGTTAAAAGATACGTCATTTTTGTAAAAATAGCCCAAATTAGAACATCAAAAGACACAACCAAGTCATCTAGATGTCACTATTTGCTGCTGCTATATTGAATTTTACCAAAACCCATATGCTTAGGGACCAACAGGGAAAAGCAAAAAAGAAAGAACATGGTAGACAAAAGGGAGAGCTTGTAGAAAAGTGAAAAAAGACAGCACCTTTGTGTCATCAGAATGACCATTGCCTTTAGCACCATAGTCCAATACACTGAAGACATTGCCCTTCTTCTTTCCTCCTTTTGGTTGTGCATCCATATCTCCACCCTCCCACATATGGCCATCATCCCCCATGAAGTTTGACATTCTTAGACTTCGGCCGTGGCCGCCGCGACCAACAGCTTGTTTTTGCTTGCCTAACCCTTTATCACCATGACAAGTTCCAGCTCTTGGAGAGCAGAGGAATGATGCAATGATGAGGGTGAATGCAACATTATAGAACCTTCCCATCTTAATATTGGAAAGAATAGATGCTTCTTGCTTTTTGGAGTTTCTGCAGGTTTGTAGGTAGGATAGGAACCTATGTTTGTTTATATAGAGGGAATATCAGAGTTCACGGATAGGAGTACAAGAAAACTAATAGGTTACTGTTGGTGCATGAGATGAACAGTACTTGTGAGCATGACAAAAACAGAAAATTCTCTTTGTTTAATTATTTGGGTTGATGACTTGTTCTTGGTGAATTATTTTATGCTTCTGAATTCTGTTACTCTGATTCGGTTAGTTACTTGCATGACCGACTATAGCCTAACTGTCTGACTCCCCCAGACATTAAACTATGCCTCCCCTTGTTCTAATCTCCTTACTTCTTATTTTTATAGCGAGTGACTCTTTGCCGAAGCAAAGGAAGAACCCCCCCATTCATAATGATCATGGATTTGAAGCAGGCAACTTGGTCGATATCCCTCGTAGGTGGTATTCTCCACAGTAGCGACTACACGATTTGAACCATTGAGCCACACCCTTGAGGGGTAAGTGATCTCTTTATTCCCTAAGTCATCTTTCTTTTAGAATCTACCAAATCACTTGGATTAGAAGTGATCTTCCTGAGTAGATATGAATATGGAATGCTCGTCATGTGGCGGGACTAATTGGACCTTGCATTATTAATCAGAAGTGTAATGGCTATTATTTGGAGGTCTTGTTAAAACATGCAAGCAAGTACAGGTATATAACAAAAGACGTGAGATCATCTAACAGTGCAGGGTTTATATTATTATGTCAACTGTCAGACATGAAAGACACAGCCGTGTTTTTTCTTCAACTATTTGAGACCATTATAGACGGGTAATTAAGGGATAATGAAAGCGATTAGATAAACCCAAGCAGGGCGGCAATAGACATGGGCAAAGATCTTTCCAAAAGATTCTGCTGAAATGACAGACCATGGAGCTGGCAAAAATAGGGAGGGAAGGCTGCTAAATCTGAAGTTCTGATTGCTCCTGGAAGGGCCACCCAAATCTGATAATTGCCACGGTTGGGATAATCCAGCTTGATTGCCTTCGGTTCGGTTTGACTCTGCCTTTTGGTTCGGTTCACTTCTCGTGCCTGGGTATTTCTGGTTTGACTGTTGGATCCTTGATATCAGGCTCATTTGGGTTTCTACAGGTTCCTATGGGACAATGCTGATCTTATTCTAGCATTTCCTGGTCTGTTTGTAATGCAAGCATTTCAGGGCTTCTATGGCTGGACTTGTACAAGCACATTCTGACGACGAAAGACAGACCAGGAAAAGGGATCCATCCTGTCATGAAATTCTTCTCAAGCAACAAGATACTATTTACTACTGGTTAGATTAGGTACCGTTGTTAGGTAATTAATTATTGTTAATCCATCTCAATCAGCCGCAAAACGAAATCCGTGGTTTGCGCCTTTGCGGCACATCCGTTGGGCACATTGGTTTCATTCCTACTGTTCATCATGTGAGTCTTTCTTGGGCCTACATGGATTCTGCCTACCAAAATAGATCATTGTTCATTCGAGAAGTTAGCTAATAGAGTTAGGTACCAGATGCAGAATCTATATTGCTGGAGAAGGTACACAAGAAATTCTATATTATTATGGAATGTAAACGGAGTAATTAATATATGTGTTGGCACTTAAACGATGGTAATATTATTTTACTTATGAGATTTACTACTCATAGTAACATATCGGATATTTTATGAGAAATCATGTAAATATAACGTTGTCAACTTAATTATAGCATAGCAGACAACTCAAGTTGTGTTCATAATCACTGTTGTTGTTGTTGGGGACAGTATGGCACCCTCACCTCATCGTCTATGTTAATTTACACTGTTAAACTGATTTTTTTTAGCTTAATCAAGGGTATGGCTCAAGTTAAGAGTCATTTAACAAGATATCTCTTACGTTGGTCTTTAGTATATACCAATTATAGTAATTATCCTCTCGTCATGGGTAAATGCACACAACGTCAAACAACTAATCATAAAAGCGACTTCATTTTCGTGAATAATATTGATGAGAATGTGAATCGACTAATCAAGACAAAGTGAGATCGAGACTGTTTGGTTGGATGTTGGATTGTCAACCCTTGAATTGCATTTGTTGGGGTTATTGGTAGCCCAAAGATGCAAAGGCCTGAATCAATCATAGAGTTCAATCTGAATTCACACCAAACATGAAACAAAGCCCATCAGCCCAATAACAAAATGCCCTCGATCCCATTATTATCTAAATTCTGGGAAAGCTAATTAGCGAGAACGTGCAATCAGAATGTAAATTTTTCATTTTTATATTTATTATAAGAGATAATAGTACTCTCTTCTCAAAACAAGACAATTGTGATCCTGATAATCGAGGACAGAGAATACAATCTAATGGAGTCCAAAAACAAACAAACAAGGGTGTTGCAAAATTCAGTAGAGTCCAAAGAAACAAACACACCATGTGGTAGTGAATAGTGATTGTTTGCTTTTAAAGTTTTAATATTTCTTTGGAGATTCATCATATTGCTTGGGAGGACAATAAAAATTCTATAAGATGGATCTTCTTTAACTTTTTATTCATATAAATTTGGATGAATTATACTTAGAGATCACTAAAAATATCATATTACTTAATATTTGTCGTTGAAATTGCGAGAAAATAGGTAACATTAATTTGTCCATTCAAATTCACTAACTCTATCAACTAACGGCTAAAAAAAACATCTTCTCATTTTCATATCGCCGAGTTTTTCATTTCTAATCTTACACTGCCGCCACTAGCCCACCGACATCGTCATGACAATTGACAAATAAGACAATTATTTGTCGCATATCTAACGAACTTCCGAGAAAAAAACTAACATTTATTTTGTTTTCTTGTTTACCAAAACTATTTCGGCATAATTTCCACGTTTATAATAACAAACATGAAATAAATAAAATATATCAATAACAATTAATGTAATTTTGTCACATTCAAAATTAACAAAAAAGTAAATACTATCTATTGGACAATGAACACTAATTGCATAAGACATCGCCAACCACCCCACTATATCGAAATGTCCATGTCTGTTTTATATTCACGAGCCTTTCTCCTTTGAGAATCAAAATAAGTAAAGTGTTTATATATTTATTCTTAACTAGTTTGATATATTCTTACATATTTCCCCAAATTTTCCAATATCTTCACAGTCAGAAGCAAAAATAAATTCCCATTCCCAATTTCCAATTTGTTCGAGTAATATGGCAATTACCCACATAGCCTTTCGGAAAATAAGAAAAGGATGGAATTGTAATTGTCACTTCACCCCACCTGACACTCTTCATTCTTCACAGTGGTCGTAGGCTCGTAGCTGCGGAACGCCGGAATCCGTTTCAATTCAACAAAAAATTCATTTAACGCCAAATTTTTTTTGCTGTTCCCCCTCTCTAGAGAGAGAGAGTGAGATTCCACTTGTAGAAAACTGTACACCCCTTTCTCTCTCCTCTCTTTTACCGATTCCCCCTGCATGTCTCACCTTCTCCAGTCGCCGATTCTACGCGCAAAAGAGATGGGGCTCTAGGTTTCTGCCTACTGCGAACGCCGAAGGAGAGAGCCGTACGACATTCCACCGACTAGGGATTTTCACCGGGGAAGAAGGTCGCTCCCCTGCCCCTTTTCCGGGTCTCCCGAAATTCCGGCTTCCTCGTCAGGTACGAACAAATTTCTGATTCCTCGCCCGGTGAATATAGTTGCTAGCAGCAGAAGACTGAAGTCTCGGGTTTTTTCTCCTTTTTTTCTAGGGTTCGCGGAAGATTTTGCTACATTTGTTTCTGTTTGGGGGGAGGAGAAGAAATGGTGCTTTTGGAAGACGATGATGATATCTGCTGGAACAGTGATGACGAGCGGGAGATTGAGGCTTACGGTGCTCCACTGTCACCGTCGAGTTTTCAGATTAGTGCGGCTGTGACTGGGAGAGAACAGGTTCGTTTTTTTTTTTTTTTTTATAATTTATTCCTTCGGTTCACATTCTGCCGGCACAAATTCTTTGAACTGCCACCCGCTTTCCTGTTCTTCTCTACCAATCGCTCCTTCATAATTCCGGCTTTGATTTATATTGCTTGGCATTTCCTGTCCAATTTTGCGATTAACCGTGTTCCAGTAGAGTTCTTCGAATATGGTTCTGTATTATATTTGCATATATATGTTGTTATATGGCTGGGAATTAATGCAATCAGATATAGCACATACTGGAAATTAATTAGAATTTGATTGTAATTAGTGTTCTATATACAGGCTGGGTATTGGATTGATTCTTTCCTGTACTATTTCTCCAAATGCCACTGCACATGATAGAGTGTGTGCTTGTTGATTCATCGGCAAGAGATTGATGAGTTTGTTTGAAGCTTAGTTATATAGTGCATGACTCTGCTGGTCAGAAATAGAGGGGCTAGCTTTCCTCTCCAAGTTATATGCTTTGAGTGGTTCTCTGCTGATAAATGCAGTTTCTGTCTCTTTCTTGTGAGCTTGGTTCTTTTTTGTCAATTGAATTGGAGCAGACTACCTTTGGTTCGGTTCATTCTAAGAAATTCCAAGCTCTAGTTACCTAGTAGGTTAATTCGTTGAATTACACTTCCTTTTTGGTGGGGAAGAGGGGTGGAAAGAAGTAAGGTTCACATTTTACTGACTGTTTCATAGCTGGAGTTCGTTGTTCAAGTGTTAGGGTTGCTTCCACCGTTTCGTTTCTCTTGTTTGGATGAGTATTTTGGGGAAAAGGAGTCTGCTGTTTGTTTTTTGCATGATTGAGTATTATCCCCCTCCTCAGGATGCTTCCATGGTGGGTTCATCTGGCACTAAATTGATGGATCGCTTCCTCAGAATGGGGTTCCCGGAGAAACTGGTGTTTGAAGCTATTCAGGAAAATGGTAAGTGATATTTTAAGGCATTTCTGTGTTAATGTTGTGGATTAGTTGTATGTTTCTACACGTTCAGGCTTTAAGTTTTCTGCCTAATTGGGTTTTCAGGGGAGGAAAATGAAGATGCGATTCTTGAAACTCTTCTGAGGGAAAGCCCATCCTCCTCGAGCCCTGCTGATAGCTCTAATGGCTCCAAGGTGATTGATCACTTTGTTGGCATGGGTTTCTCCAAGGAGATGGTTGCCAAAGTGATTCAGGAGATCGGTAAGAGATTTTGGCATATTTGTGGTAATTTTCACCATTGAAAAAAGCTTTTCTTGTTAGATCTTAACCTTACTTTACTATATTCTCAGGGGAGGAAAAAACAGACTCTATATTGGAAACTCTGCTCACATACTCGGTAAGGACATTCCTGTTTTATGTACAATTTTCAATATTGGGACTGTATGATGTCTGGTCGGTGCAGTGTTACTGTGTCTCTTTTTTGATTAAGTTTTGCATCTAGCTTTAGTGACGAGGAAATGCATAAGGTAGTTAGCAACATTTTGGGAATAAAAGGGGGTCTTTTGAATGAGGAAGAGAGAGCGGTGTAGGGAGTCCAGGGATCATTCCCAAATCCAATATTGGAGCCATCTACAGGGAGTGTCCAAGAAAAAGCAGCTGTGGTGGAGTATGTCTCTCCATAGATATGGTGTGCCTGTGGAGAAGCTCCATTGAATGCGCCAACCAAATCATTCCTACATGGATTTGATGGTGTAGTGAGACTGTGCCACCATGCTGTTTTTTCTGTAGTGAAACCCAGAGACTAGTTAGAGAGAAGTGCTTGGTTCATAATTTAAATCCAAGATGCAGACTCTGCTCTGGTCGACTGGAGCTTTGAGGGTGGGCCTAGGGAGGATGTGAAATCTGAGAGATATTGAGTCAACCAGCCCATAGGAGTCGACTAATGCCCTTCCGCTTTACAATCGCCTCTGTTGCAGGTGGATCTTGATTTGTTGGCACTTTACATGAACATAGAAGCAACCAGCTTGTAGTCATGAAATTTTCTGTTACTCTTTGTATAGGATTACCAATTACCAGCATTGGGTTTTGGATGATTTATGATTCTTACTATGTGAAAAGAAGGATGGCTGATGGCTCATTTTGCCCAATTTCTTACAGGCCATTGAAGAACCTGCTGAGGATCAGCCTACTCTGGACTCTGATGCTGAATTTGAAGGAAGCTTTCTGGATGAATTTTCAGATTTTGATAGTTGTGAGAGTGAGGTACCTGCTTTGATTGTTTTACACTACTCCATTGAAAAATATTTGGGAACAGAATCCTGTCAGCTGATGTTTATTTTGTATGAATAGTCCTTGAACACATGACTCTTATCTTTCAGGTTAATGTAAAAATCGAGCCTGATGAAGATGACACTGTCTCTTCCCTTGTAAAGATGGGATACACATCAATCGAGGCTGCAAAAGCAATAGAGAGATGTGGTATTTGTAATTGTATCATGCCACCATGGTTTTGTTTTGTTTTTTTTGGGAGAAAGCTGTTGAGTTGTCAGTATTAGATTATAATTTGGAAAACACTAGATATAGTCGTGCTTTCCGGAAAAAGTTGAATGAATTGATCTTTGTCTTCTAATTATTTTTTGGTATAATAATGTCTTGTGTTGGGATTTTCAGGTCCAGATGCCACAGTGGAGATGCTCACTGATTTTATTTGTGCTGCTCAGATGGCAAGGGAAGCAGATGCTTTGTTCCCAGATGAAGAGGTGATTCTTTTCCCCTTACACCATGAGGTTTCCTTTCTGTTTCTGAAACATTTTGATAAAATATCTGGTTTCTCTTTGACTTATTATGCTTGTTGATCTTGTATTTGGTCAGTCGAAGCCAAACTTGTTGAATAATAAGCTGAAGAAGAGGAGCTATCTGGACAGAGACCTTCAGCGGAAAAAACAGAGGATGATCACTTCTGAAGATGATGAGATTCTCAGCCTTCCAAACCCAATGATTGGCTTTGGTCTCCCTGGAGACATACCTCGGAAGATTCATCGGAAGATTCCTGCTGGACCTCCCTACTTCTACTACGAGAATGTAGCTCTAGCTCCGAAAGGAGTCTGGCAGACGATTTCACGTTGCCTCTACGACATTGAGCCAGAGTTCGTAGACTCAAAACATTTCTGTGCTGCTGCAAGGAAACGAGGCTACGTCCACAACCTCCCCATTGAAGGACGATTTCCACTTCTTCCTATTCCTCCACAGACCATTCACGATGCTATCCCCATTACAAAGAGATTTTGGCCCAGATGGGATCCTCGTGACAAGCTCAACTGCTTGCAGACCGCATATGGTAGCGCCAAGTTGACCGAGAGGATCCGGAAGGCGGTTGAGCAGTACGATGGAGATCCGCCAGAAAAGACACAGAAGTGGGTTATGTACGAGTGCCGCAAGTGGAATCTCGTTTGGGTGGGGAAGAACAAGGTTGCACCACTTGAGCCTGATGAGGTTGAAAGTCTACTGGGGTTCCCAAAAAATCACACGAGGGGTGGAGGGATTAGTAGGACAGACAGATACAAGTCGCTCGGCAACTCGTTCCAGGTCAGTAGCTACTGTTACTTCTTGGAATCTTTTGTATTTATTAGAATGATTTTGTTGTTCCTGTTATCAACTTTAGGAATTAATAGCTTGTATTTGAAATCTGTAGTTAGGGTGAATCCATAGGCAAACTGAAAGTACAATGCATGCTTTCCCCCTGAACAGTAAATAGTGACCACTGAATCAAATTACCGCAATGTAAACATGAACAAAGGAATGGATGAGAAGATTAATTTGCCTCTGCAGTTACTGACTGCTATCTTTTGTTTTTAGGGAAAGGAGTGACAACCCCTTATGTAATCTGTGACTGTCTGTTATCAGATCTGATTTATTTCATCATGTGTATTTCAGGTTGACACAGTTGCCTTCCACCTGTCCGTGTTGAAGGAGAAGTTTCCAAAGGGTCTCAATATGCTGTCTCTCTTCTCCGGGATTGGTGGTGCTGAAGTGGCTCTCTACCGGCTTGGAGTGCCGTTGAAGAACGTGGTGTCTGTTGAGATCTCAGAGGTGAACCGAGGGATTATGAAGTGCTGGTGGGAGCAGACAGGGCAGAAGGGCATGCTGATCGACATTGACGATGTGCAGAAAGTGACTGCTGAGCGGCTGGAGCACTTGATGTCTGTTGTTGGAGGGTTTGATCTGGTAGTCGGTGGGAGTCCATGCAACAACCTAGCTGGTAGCAACAGGCACCACAGGGACGGCCTGGAGGGTAGAGAGTCTTCTCTGTTTTACGATTACTGTCGTATTCTTGAAGTGGTGAAAAATCTAACTGCTGCTAGAGCTAACTAGTGGACTTTCCTCCCCATCTAACCTGTGGATAGCTTAACCGTGGAGTGTCCATCAAGGCCTTTTCTTTCTTGTTTCCGGTTCTATATATCTCCTTTTTTTACTGTTCTTTGATTTGCAAACAATTATGCAGAAGTAGAGATGTCCTGGAAAAGTGTAAAGGTTAATCTAACTGTCCATCGTTTAGTGTCCTTTGTTAAGGTTTATAATAAATTTAGTTCAGGTTATTTTCACAATTTACCAGGTATTGGTGCCTTGGTGCAAGGGGAAACAGTTGTTGATCGATAGTCTATTGACTCAGTCTGTAGCTACTATTGTTCTGCAATACTGAAAGTCTGTACAGCAGAGAATCAGATGATTTTTATATGTATTGAATCGCAATGCGCTTAAATACGATCTGCGATTCTATGGTCTTCTGCTATATATGGTTTTTTAATGGGATCTGCTATATATGCTGAGTATGTGGTTGTATGGATGACTGATTTGAGACAAGTATTTGTGCATGAGACTCATTGTTGTGGTTGTTTGGATGATTGATTTCAGTGAAGCAACTGTAAACTGCTCTCATAAGTTAGTTTAAGTTTGCACAGAAATGAAAGATAGCAACACATTATTCCTAGCAGAGATTTGAGAAGAGAGTTTAACACTGAATTTGTCAATTTCATTCATTTGGCATCTGTTTGGGTTACCAAATTCCTTCACAGCAGAGAGAACTTAGAGCGAGTTCAATCATCACATTTAAGACGATTCGAATATGTAAACATATACAAGAACGTTCATTGAAGAATTCTTGATGTATGGCTTGTATCGAGTTGATTTCACAACCAGAAGTATAAAGTTCTCCAGACATGGTAAGACTCTTGCTGCAAGAATAGTTAGTGTGATCACAAAATCACTGTAAAGAAGAACCAATTATAGAACCGGTTCAACATGCTGGGTTGACCCAAGTTTAATGATTGGATTAGGAAGTAGGAACTAAGAAAAGAAGGCACCCTCTGCACGATTTTGGCGGGAGGTTTTCCCGCCAGATAAGGGAGTACAAATCTGAACAGTTCTCTCTCCTAAAAAACTCATCTCACACTCTCTCTCGACGTCCGCGACCAAGAAGAGTCATCTGAGCCCCGTTTTCATTTCCAATTAGAAGTGAGCAACTGCCGCCTTTCTTCCGCCGCGCGCGTTTTACATTATAGAAAAGGAGCCTCGCCGCCGCTGTTTTCTTTCTTCTGCGATCTAACAAGAGGCGGCTTTCAAAACTCTTCAGTCGGTGACGAGGGCACGATTCAGGTGAACTTATCAAAATCTTGGTTGCTAGGACAAAGCTAGGTCTAGCTGTTTAGAAACTTACAAATGTAAGTTTTATGAATTCCCCTAAGAAATGTAAAATCTCAATCTAGGGACCATTTTCGTCTGCTTGCCGTTTGATCGATTCTAGGGTTTCCCGATCCAAATTCTTGAACTTAAGTTTTGCGAGAGTTTCTCATCTGGAGATGCGTTTTGTTTTATCTTGTTCCGGAATTCGAAGTCAAATTATCACTTATGTGTATGTTTGGTGTGTTGGAGCAGATTCTTCTGACAGGGATGGTGATTGAAGAAGCCGTCAATGGGAGGGATGACATGTTGATTGATGGTCAAATGGCTGACCAGGTCCTCCCAAGTGGATTCAACCCTAATTTTCTGAAACTTTACTATGGTATTCCTCTGCTCAAGCTCCGATTCCAATGTAAATCATACGGGAAACGACTTTCCAGATGTTCTTAGGTTCAAAATCTCCCAAGACAGCATTTGTTTCTATAGTACTGCTCAATGCATGGTGAAACTATTGTAAAGAGCTTGCTCGTGCTGTAAATTGTTTACTGGTCTTATCATTGCTTTTGCAACACACACTTGATTAGTGCTCTCGGTCTGTTTCCTTTTGAACCTAATAAGTTGCTTGCATCATGGCAGTGAAACTCTTCCCTTATGGAGATATCTTCAGATGGATGTCTTACGGGAATGGTAATTAGTTTGCATCCTCATTTTTCGATCTTGCATCTTGAATGGTGGTTCTCCTGGTCTCTAACTGTACCCCCACTTGACTGTTTACGTGCAGATGGAAAACATCCTGCTTGTGACAAATCTTACTTCGGCAGGAGAGAGCTTTCGTTCACCCTTGAGAATGATATTTATTTGCGGTTTCTGTCCTTCAACAGCGTATCAGAATTGGAGAAAGGCATCAGGGAGAAGTGTCCATTTAAAATAGACATTGGTCCTGTTTACAGCGTGGATGTAAGAATGTTTTATTTTCTTGCCACTTTTGTTACTTAGTCCTGCTTGTACACTTTAAGTTTCTCCGCAGCAGCATTGATTCTTCCGTGTCTATGAATCAAAGAAGTGGTTCTTCAATTTTTGTAAACTTGATGGTCCATGGAGTTCTATGCCTAAGAACGGTGTACCTAGAGCTTAGATATTGATAATTTCTTCTATTTGTGATGCTTGTTGTCATCGCTTTATATCAATGACAATCTCTACTTTTATATATTTCATTGCAGCCTGCCAAAAGGCATGCTTATGCCCAGAGTGGTGAGAATGTTTTCAAACCAGTGGAGAGGGAGCTCATCTTTGACATTGTAAGCTGTTGGGTTTCTGTGGCAAAAGCTTTGGTTTTGTTTAATTTGTTAGCTGATGCAACTAATTATCAATTTTCCCTTCAGGATATTACAGACTATGACGATGTCAGGTATTGCTGCTCAGGTGCTGATGTGTGCCTGGACTGCTGGCCCCTGATGACTGCTGCTATCAAAGTTATCAACACTGCCCTAAGAGGTCCCTATCTTTCGAACCTTCATTCAGAAAAATCAATTGTATTACATCTTATCTGAATGAGTTCCTGTTTTCCATTTCCCGTTCTTTTATCTTACTTTGTCAATGTAGATCACTTGTTCTTTCTCGTACTATTGCTATGAAGAACAGGAAAACTCTCAAAATATTGACTTTTTCCCGTTAATGCAGATGACTTTGGTTTCAGACATATTCTCTGGGTTTACAGTGGCCGGCGTGGTGTACATTGTTGGGTTTGTGATGGGAAAGCAAGAAGGTTAGGGATCTTATAAACTCAGCTCAGGTCATATTTATTCATGTTTTGTTATGTGGTTATAACAATGTGTTCCAATGCACTGATTCAGATTGACTAATGAACAGAGAGCAGCTATTGCTGATTATTTTCGCGTATACAAGGTCTTACACGCCACATCCTAGATTCAAAATTGTATGAGACTTATGCATGAAAAGTATTTAATGGAAGTTATGATTATGTTCATCAGGGTAGCGAGAACAGTAAGAAAAAAGTTTCTCTGACTGGCCATGCTCTTCATCCTTTCTTGGTGTAAGTTCCTTTTTCTGTGTTAATTCAATTTCATTCTGCTTTGCTGCTCTTTCATCCTTTACTTTCTCTCGGGTTGTTTGCTGCTATAATTTGTGGTTAAAATGCTCTGCAGGAGATCTTACACAGAAGTTCTAAAGGATTTATTTGAGCAAACATTGCTTTCAAGTCAGCAAATTTTTTCAACTGAAGACAAATGCGAGAAAGTTCTAGAGATGATTCCAGATGAATGTACCGAGTTTTATTACAATTTCTTTCCGGTCACAGTCAGCCATATTTCTGATTAACTGATTTGTTTATCCGCTACTGTTTCCACAGCTGTTTCTGCTGAGCTCCGAGGGAGGTGGCAGAAGAGGTCCTCTGGTTCAAAAGACAACATTAATGCTGTTCGATGGGAGCATCTGAAGCACACTCTGCAATCTGGAAGACACAAGGTACAAACTGCTTATCTGTGTTAAGGATGTATCATCTTTCATTAGGGAAAGATGAAAATTATTCTGTGCATGATAATTTGATTGCTTAGAAAAATAAAACCACCTTTTGAGAAGACGTCTTACTTGCTAGGGCTCTGATCCATATAAGTACACTTAACCAGAACCCAACTTCGTTGTTCCAGGGACAAGGCCTGCGTAGGTGTGTTGAAGAAATTGTGTTCTCTTTCTCCTATCCCAGGCTTGATATGGAGGTTGGTACCGCAGGATTCCTCTTTATATCCTGCTGTTATTGTGCAGTATTATTAAGTTTTTAGTTATCTTGCTGGAGCTATAAATATCCAACAGCTTATTTTGGTTTTGCTTTAAAGTGTAATAGTAAAGAGGCTACAGGCTTTCCGAACATCACTTCTTACATTCCAACTCTCCTGAACAGTACCATTTTGCTTCTATTCCAGGTCTCCAAACACATGAACCACTTGCTGAAGGCACCATTTTGTGTTCACCCGAAAACTGGTAAGTACACCTAAGTATCAATGTGCATCTCTCCTGGTCAAACTTTTTGGTGCAATTGCATTGGAGCTTGGGACATGAAGGAGCAAGTGCATTATGCCAATGCATTCACATATTTTCCTCAACTTGGAAACTTAGGATATGGTGCATCACATTATTTTGAACAATATGATCAAAGCTTACTTATGTTGCATGTTTATGTTGTCTTCAGGTCGTGTCTGTGTACCAATAGACCCAGTCCATTGCCATGATTTTGATCCTACGACAGTTCCAACACTTTCACAGGTATGATAATCTGGTCAAGTAACATGTTCTCTCATTTTACTCCTTTAGTCGCTTGCTCAAGTTACAACAGTTACCATTCGCTGTCCATTTCCGTAAGATGAACATAGAACTCTGTATATGTCAATTTAAGCCAATAAAACTGCCTTGATGGCAAACCTCGTGGACTATCATTAAGTCTCTCATCCACCTGGATACTGATTTCACCCTAATTTCTTGTAGCTGCTACAAGAACTTAACTCAGGGGGAATGGGGCAGGAAGGGGATAATGGTACGCCATTTGATACTGAACTCTACTCGTATCAGCATTTGTCGTGTGATTTCCTCCCCTTAAGAGCTCTTGCTGTGATACTGTTCTATTCTAATTGATAGAAATTAGATGTCAACTCATCAATGACAAGAGCCATTGATTTAAATTACATTTCTTGTGAAACAGACTGGGACAGAACATCACTTGGCGAATCTGTTAGGTTTTTCCGATCATCGTTCTTGGAACCTCTTCTGAAATCTTGCAAGGTATAACTGCTGATCTTTGTTTTCTCAGCCTAAAATATCCTTCGCAGCTGAATCATCATTCATATTAGTTCCTCCTTGATTGGAAAGCACTTTTGTAACTTGTTAAGACGTTAAACTACTGCAGGAGGAGATGGAGAGTGCATACAACTCAAAATTGCAGCAGTCAAAGAACTCAATGATTTGGTAGCCCCATTCTCCTCTTTCCATCACTCTAGAGGGGATCCATGGGAAATCCATTTTTCTTCACACTGCTGTGATGAATCAATGCAATGTATACAAGAATCCAGAGGCAGCGTTTTCTAGTTTCTACCCAGAATCTTAAACTGTTAGCCAAGTATAGTATCCTTCACAAAGTGATAGGTTTAACTTTTAAGTGAGGGATTTTGTAGCAATATCTTCATGAACATCGCATTAAACCCTAGCGCACAGAAATGAGCAACCATTATCGATACTTTCGCGTCCTAATCGATCGTCTATGATCAATCCATCCATTTCTGTAGCAAACAAGGAAAGCTGAGTCAGTGAGTGTTCTCAAAATCCACATGGAGAAGACCAGTTATGGTAGAACCAAATCAGCTGGCTACACATTACATTACACTACACATATTTGCCAACAAATGTACACAACAACCAAACCAAACCATATCCTTATTCCTCCTCTTCCTTCATAGCAATGAATAGTCATCTTCGACCCCACTCCTTCCCACTACACAAAATATTAAATGAATGGATCCAAAAATTAACCTTGACAGTAGTGACAGTAACAGTAAGAAAAGAAAAACTAATACAAAAGAATTTCTCTCATTTTTCTTGGATCAATATTCCCATTGACCGTCTTGCCCCTACTCCATTCCTCCCACTCCAAAACCCGAACCCTACCCTCGCCACTCGTTGCACTGCGCGGTGGGCCTCGTCTTCTGGTTCCCGGCCTTCAACGGGCAAGGCGTCTGCAGCGGCGGCACCATACAATTGTACTGCAGACACAGCGAGCTGCTCACCGGAATCTCCGCCGTCGGATTTATCTCGATCCCCGTCAGATAATTATGCTGTAGATACAGCGTCTCCATTCCAGCCGCCAGCAGGCGGTCCACCAGGCTCCCGGGGACTTCCCCGCTGAACCGGTTGTTATTGAGGTAGAGATTCTGTACGGTGGAGAACATCGGGGAAATCTGGCCGGAAAGCCTGTTGTAGCTAAGGTCGACGGTGGGGATCGCCACCTGGTCCGTGGGCTGGACCGGGCCCGCGAACGCGTTCCTCTGGAGCTGGAGGTTGCCGATGGGGAACCCGAAGATCCGACCCGGTATCGGCCCGGTGAACCCGTTGGCGCTGAGATCGAGGTAATTGAGCTGGTCGAGCCGGGTGAGGATCGTGTCGACCGGTCCGACCAGCCGGTTCCAAGAGAGGGAGAGGTACTGGAGCGAGGGAGGGAAGGAGAGAGGCTGGATGGAGTCGTTGAGATGGTTGTGGGACAGGTCGAGTCGGGTCAGTAATTGGGATCCGAACGGAGGGACCGGACCCGAGAGGCGGTTGTGGCAGAGGATGAGATTGGACAGCCCGGTGATCGACCCGATTGAGGGAGGGACCGGGCCCGTGAGCTGGTTGTAGCTGAGATCGAGGGTTCGGAGATTGGATAGCTCGGAGAGGGATTGCGGGATGGTTCCGGTGAGGAAGTTCCGGCTGATGGCGAGGAATCGGAGGTCCTTGAGCTGGGAGACGGATTCGGGCAGTGAGCCCATGATCCGACCCGGGACCACGGAGAGCTCGGCGAGCGCCGAGAGCTTGCCGATTGCCGGGTCGAGCCTGCCGATGAGACCCGGCGACCCGGCTCGCGGGTCGCCGAGGTTGAGGGCGATGACCCGATCGGAGTCGCAGTAGACTCCGGCGAAGTTGCAGGGGTCGGAGGTGAAGTCCCAGGAGGAGAAGAAATTGGAGCCCGGCATGTCGTCTAGCGATTTCCGAATCGATTGCAGGGCCAGGAAATCGAGTGGGTCGAGAATGGCATCCACCGAGACTATCAGTAAGCTGCATTGAAGCGAAGTAGACAGAGCCAACAAGAGAATCAAAATATGGAAAGATTGCGCCTTTTCTCTGAACCCGGTCACCGCCATTGGAATAGAGTGATTGATTATGGTATTGATGCAGAGAAGAGAAGACAAGGGAAGCGAGGGGGTGAGCTATAAAGGGTCAGGTGAGTGGGAAGAAAAGGAGGGATCGTGAAGGCTTTTAATGGCGGGACTATATCAGGATCACAAGATCACCAGTACAAAGATTTTGAGAGAGAGAGAGAGAGAGAGGGGGGAAAGTAGAAGTAGAAGTAGAAGTGGAAGAAAGAATGGCGTCGAAGAGAAGCAATGTTTGACGAGTCTAGTGGCTTGCCGGAGAAGATGAGAGAAAACAGGGGAAGAGACGGAGAGAAGAGGCAATGCCAATGCAATAGTCTGTCACTCTCTCTTTCTCTGCACTTTTCTTGTTGGGGTGGATGATTGTAACTGTTGGTGGCAATGGCTGTGTCCCGTGTCTCTGCAGCGCAAAAGCAGAGGAAGAGGAACTACCATCTCTCTCTTTCTGCCTTTCCCTTTGTATTATTTCTTTTTGGGGTTTTTTTGGTTGATGGTGTAATTATTAATTGTTAGGTTGGGGGGTTTGGGTCGGGGACCAACGGTTGTCCGAGCCTACGTGTCTCCCGCCACCATTATGTCGTCTAGGGATATTCACCGCTTCTTTAGTTCTTCTTCCTATCCCTCCACGAAGCCATCCCCTCCATAAAGAAGAGGTTTTTGGCCCAGATGACAAGCTCAACTGCTTGCAGACGGCAGTTGGAAGTGTGAAGTTGATCGAGAAGAACAAGGTTGCATCTACTCGAGCTCGATGAAGTTGATACTCTCTTGTAAACTCTGAGTCTACCCCTGAATAGTGAACACTGAATCAAATTCTCACAGATGTTGAACATGAACAAAGGGAATGGTTGAAAAGATCATAAGTTGCTTCTGCTGTGATTGAAGCTTCTTTGTTCTTTCCTCTGTCATGGCTCTTGCTGAATTTGCATTTCAGGTCGATACATTTGCCTTCCACTCGTCTGTGTTGAAGCAACTTTGCCTTCCACCTGTCATGGCTCTTGTTGAATTTGTATTTCAGTACTGTGCATGCTCTCTGACTCGGTCAGCCCGTAGCTACTTTTCTGCAATGCTGAAAGTCCATTGCTGATCTGTATTCTGGCTTGTCACCTGTGCGGCTGTGCCAATGCTTCTCGGTACAGAGAATTTAAACACAATTTCATCCATGATTCGAAGTAGGCAAATGTACGCAAGAACACCTTTGAAGACTGCTTAACATCTGGCTTTTTACCGAGTTCATTTCACGACTAAAAGTATAAATGATAACCTCTATATAGTGACACTCTTGCTGCAAGGCACAGTTGATTTAAGACTTTACAACAGTGTAGCTCACAACCGAGTATAGAGTTTGAAGCCACAACAGAAACCAGAAACGCTCAATCCAATTGAACACAGCCCAGAGAGGCAACTACATTCACCACGACATCTGCTACTCAGGTTCTTCAGACACGATTTTATTCAGAACCACCCACAAAGCGCTCTAGGAAGAAGCAGAAGCAGTAGTAGCAGCAATAGCTCCAGCTTCAGTAAGAAGAGGAACCAACTTCCCCGACTTGTTGAGGGCCATTGTGTCTGCCGGCCAAGAAAAAAAAAAGGTGTGCAACTCTACTGTTAGCAATTGAGACCAACTAAAGCCAGTTAAATCAGCAAAGCAATCGGAATTTAAGAGAAAGCATCCAGGGGGATTATACCGTCACAGCCACCAATGTGCTTGCCACCGATAAAGACATTAGGCACTGTCCTTTGGCCTGTCAACTGTGCCAATGCTGCTTGGATCTCAGCTCCATCACCTGAAAAACAGATAAGAGAGAACCAACCATAACCAACAAAATGAGTTGCACTTCTTAACAACAAGAGCAATAAAGGAGACCATTCTGCTCCCTGTGTCACAGAGTTTGGACAACCATAAACAACGTAAACCCTAGCATGCAGAAATGAACAACAACTATCAACAGTTTCGCAGTCTAACTGATCAGAGACAATCAATGCATTGGCGTAGCAAAGACATGTTAACTAACTCAAAGATGGTGGCTTAGTAGCACAGGAAATGAACAACCATAAACAGCGTGAAACTAGCACGCGCAAAGGAACAACCATTATCAAAGGTGGCTTAGTCATCCAAAGAGATGACCATGGGATAAACAAAAACAAACATTTGGAACAAAATCCAGACATCCAAGTAAGGAAATCGCAATGTTCATGGCAGGTTCCAGTCTAAGTAAAGTAAACACTACCGGGTAGCTGAAAAGGATAAGAAATCAGCAGCTAAGAAGGAAGAATTAGAAACCCAAAACGAAGCTCGAATAGGAGAATTCCGTCCGTATAGGGGAGGTTTTCACATATACTACATCAAAGACCTATTACACTTGCAGTAAACCTCCAAGAAACAACCAGTTACGAACTCCCAAATCTCAATCGAAGACAAGAGCGGGCATAATTAAACAATGATCCAACACAAACAAGTAAAGCTGAATCGCTATGGAGAAGAAGCAATTGCAGAACCAAATCAGCCAGTATCTCGGTACATATTCAATCGAATCAGAAGGAAAAGAAAAAAAAAATTGCGGGAGGGATTAAGATTACTGACTCTCGGTATCCAATTCGACAGCCTTATAAGCAGCTCGCAGGTCAGACAACAGCTTCTTCACAGAGGTGCAGTATGGGCAGTAAGTCTTGCTGCACCGCAAAAAAACAATCGCCGCAAATTCAATCGAATTGCCGATCAATGAAAGAATTTAACCCAATCAATCGAGAGACAGAACACATCCGGGAGGAAATTCTAACCTGAAAATGACGACGGGGCTGGAGGAAATGAGGTCCTTTGCCTTGGTCATCGCCATCTCTTCTTCTCCGGCAGGCCTTTCTTCTTAGTTGCAGAGTTCGTTACGACTTACGAGTAGTAGCAATCTTTCAGAGATCGCGGGCACCGTGTGAATTTATAGATTCTGTGAAGTACGCGTTGCTGCAAAACAAAGCAGAAAGAAGGAAGGAAGAAATGTCGACCGGCCATTTGCAGATTCTCGTGTTTCTTTATCATTCAAGTTTGTGTGGGCCGAATGGGCCGGATAAGTGGGCCTGTCGACGGTGGTTTTGCGGGTCAAAAGTCAAAACAGAAACGCCGGCGGCCGGCGTGTGCGTGATAATCCCTTGCCTAAAGGCTAGGGATGGCAATAAAATCCGGACCTGCGGGTACCCGCCCGATCCGGTCAAACCGGGTAAAATCCGTGTTGACTGGGTTCGGGTCGGATTCGGATTAAAATCCGCTGGGCGGGTTGGTTCGGGTTCGGGTTTGGGGGAACCCGACCCGTGGATACCCGGATATAGGTAAAACCCTAATATCTATAATGTGGCATTTGAATGACCTCCTCCAACCCCAAATTTTGGCCGCCACCAAACCTCCCAGCAGAGTGCAGAGAGCAGCACGCCGCCACCAAATCCTCCCGTCTCCATTCCCGTCGCCGCCCGAATCGGGATCCCGTCTCCATTCCAGTCGCCGGCCGCCCTCCCCCTGCTACTCCTCTGCTCTGCGCCTCCAAGTCCCCACCTCCCCGCCGGGCGCCGACGTTCGAACTTCGAATCCATACCGCGCGCGCGCCGCCCTCCCCCTGCTACTCTGGTCCGCGCCTCCACATCGCCGCCTCCCGCCGACTCCAGTCCTGCCGCCCTTCAGTCCCGCCGCCCTCCTCCTTCTCCTCTGCTCTGCGCGTAGTCTCCACGTTCCGCCAACGCCGACGGTCCACACCCGCCGCCCTCCTGCTTCCTCTACTCCGACCCTTCCCCTGGTGGGTGTAAGTGAGGTGGAGTTTGGAGGAGAGCCGTCGCTGCCGGATTGCTGGCAAAGTCGTTCGCCGGGGCCTATACCAGAGTGTGGACGCCCGGCGACATTGATCCGACTTCTTCAGTATCCTTTTTCTCGCTGCAGTTTTGGCATTTCAGGTTTATATATTATCATAAATTTGGGTAACTACACTGTTTTGGGTACTTTATGGGATGCGTGAGTAAAGAGAGAAAAGGAGGGAATCGGGTCTTGCTTGCTTCTGAAATTTTGCCTGGAATGCGAAATTCTGTCGGTAGAATATGTACTTGAGTTGAGCTGTGTTAACAAGAGAATTAATGAATTTGAAGGCGCACGCCATGTGTTCGATGAATTGTCTGAGGGTCTCGTGGTTTTGCAGTAGTTTGTATAGCTGAATGTGTTTGTCATGACGGTTTTTATTGGATTTGGCCTTTTGGTCTTATTTTTCCTCACAATTGATTTTTCCTTTTTTCTCCATTTCAGGTATGGCAACGAGAGGCCTGAAGATTTGGGCGGCAGCTGAGGACTTGGCAAGTAATAGGGGATATGTACTGTCTCTCTACAGACAACTATTGCGCAGTCTGAACTCTCCAAGTTTGCCTCTGAATTTAGCTGCAAGATTGGCAAGGAAGGCTGAGGTTCGTGCCATTTTCCTGCTGGGATCCGAGGAGAGATCCGTCCACAATATCAAGGACCTCACTGACACAGCTGAATATGCTCTTGGTATGATGAAGAAGGGGGAAATCCCAAAGTACATTCAGTGATCCATCAAACACCGACGCACTTGATTCTTGCACTTGCACCTCTGCACAAGCGTGATATATGGATTTCTGTATCTCTCATGACAGTTTATGAGACATGATCTTGTCATATGTCTGAGAATTTTGTTAGGAGTCATAGGAGCTGTAATCAGGAATGTGTTACCAAGTGTTATTGATTGCAAGGCGAAATCCCAATGGCCTCTGTTCTAGTTAATTTTGAACAAGACCATCACCAAGTTGAAACTGAATCGTCGTTACAACTTTATTTCCAAAGAAAATGAGAACTTCAAGTATATGTTCTATGCTAAAATCCTATCACCCCATTATGGAAATGTCTGAATTGGTCGTGTTTTTCTCCAAACCACCACTAGATGCAGCTGGATGCTATGCCCATCAAACTGCAGCAGGTTCCCGGAGCTTTGATTCCAGATTCTTTGCCACTGCATCTATAAACTCCTCTGTGTTCAAGTAAAGTTCCCTTGATACCCTGCACGATATGAGTTATTGGAATGGTTATTATCACTCCACATGTGACACACAATCGTGATCTCAAACCTTAACACACGAGCTGATTGAACACGGAAGTTGTTCTGGTTCTAGTCTTCAACTTACAGTAACTGAAACTTTAGTTCTCCAATGTGACATATTTACCTCTATTCCGACCTAAGGTCTTTTCTATTGCTTGCGACCCATTTTACATATACATACAGTTATGTTAAGGATTCACCTTATGTGATCATGACTTCACAATCAAATAGCAAAGAGAAAACAATGCAAGTACGTATTATTCTACCCAAAAAAACAAGACGTATTAGGGATTTAGGGTGAAAGAAAACGATCAACTTACTTGGGGCCATGGACCAAGATTGCCAGATCCTTGGTCATTTTGCCTGATTCAACTGTTTCAACGCATGAAGACTCCAACTTCTGAACAAAATCAAGCAGCCTTTCGTTCTTATCCAGTTTTCCCCTACAATAAATCAAACAGGATCAGAAAAATTTACACATGCTTGGTCCCACCTATGCATCCGTATCCATATTTGCATATTTCTTTCTTCCAACCAATAGACAGAATCACAGCATCATCAGGGATCTAGTATAATCAGGAGTGATTAGTACACAAATGCTAAGTTGGATAACTAAAGATATAAGTTTGACTGAAGGAAACATTATTTACCTATGCTCTAGTCCTCGCGACCATGCAAAAATTGAAGCAATACTGTTTGTGCTGGTTTCTTGGCCTTTCTGATGCAATCTGAAATGCCTAGTGACAGTTCCATGAGCTGCCTCAGCTTCTAGCGTCTTTCCGTCGGAAGAAATCTGAAAATTGTTTGCTTAAAGCATTATGTCACCTTAATCATAAAGACAAATCGAATCAATGTGTAAAAAGAGGATAGCTTGCTACACACCAGCACGGATGTCATAAGACCCAACGAGCCAAATCCTACAATTAAAAAACAACATCAACTAATTCAGAAAGGTTTGTGTTGTTCCCCAAGAACAAGAAGTTAAACCTCAGTAAGTCCTTCAGTTCATTACTGCATTTAAAAGGATGACAAGAAAGATATATGCAACTTCTGAGAGTAGGTGTCAGTGAATGCAGACCTTGGGCAAGTAAATCACTTTGGACATCTCCATCATAATTTTTGCAAGCCCAGACATATCCACCTTCACTTTTCATCGCATATGCAACCATGTCATCTATTAGCCGATGCTCGTACCTGGAGAATGAAACCACTTTGATTTGTAATTACTACTTACAAAAAACAAAACAGAAAACAATTTTTTATAACATACCAAATTGAATGTTCTTCAAACTTATCCTTCCACTTCTGTTCGTAAACATCCTGGAATATGTCCTTAAACCTGAGATAAGGTTGTCATGATAAGAACATCTTTTTTGTTTTGTTTTGTTTTGTCAGTCAGAATAAGGAACAAATGAAGAGGATTTGGCACAACAAGTCACTTAGATGAGGAGTTGCTACCTGCCATCATATTTTTTAAGAATTGTGTTTTTGGTACTCAAGTATAGAGGCCACTTCTTTGCAAATGCCATTGTCATTGATGACTCAGCAAACGCTCGAATAGACTACACATACACAAAGATTAGGCAAATACTCAAATTTCTGCGTATACAAAGGAGAAGTAGCATGAGGTTGAATAAACCTCGTCAACATTATACATTGCCAGTGCCACTCCAGGGCCTTTGAAATCATGGACATCAAGCTCCAATGGGGTATCACCACCTTCTGGGACTGATTATTTGGAAGCAAAATTTGGGTAAGAGAAATAGTGTCATGCAGAAGGCAATTAATTTTTCACTTACTTGAGCAAGAATGGAAAAGAAGCCATACCGAAAACCATTTTCAGCTTTCCTGGACCTTTTATAACAGCATCTGTGGCACGATATTGATCCCCAAAGGCATGCCTACCAATGCATATGGGTTTCTTCCAACCTGTTCATTCATTTGTAAGCACCAGGTGATGTTGCCAAAATGTAGTTTACACTTCTTGACAGTATAAGTTCTAATGTCACCTGCAACAATTCTTGGGATGTTGCGGCAGATAATTGGTTCACGAAAAACAGTACCTACAAAGGCAAATATAACACCAAAATTGAAGGTCAAAGCATAATGAAATAGCTTTTTTGCATAGTTCAAAGAATTCTGCTTAAGAAACAAGAGTAAATGGTTGATGTATACAGCACTAACCATCTAAGATGTTTCGAATCGTGCCATTAGGGCTCCTCCACATTGACTTAAGGCCAAACTCCTTCACTCTAGTCTCATCTGCATAGAAGAGGAAAACAATTATGATAGCTATCAAACTTAGACGCTTACGAAGATGTATAACTTTCCTGAACTGGCATGAAAATCTGAAGTATAGATAGCTTCTTGAAATGTAAAACGCTTGTTGCCAGCAAACTAACCAGGAGTTATCGTGGCACATTTGACAGCAACATTGTACCTAAGAAAAAAATATGGGCAGGATAAGAAAAAATACGCCAAAAGATTCAATCAGTATGTGATTGACGAAGTTTTCAGCTGATCCTTGAGCAACAAGTATTCCTGATTAATTCCAATCAACACAGCTAATGAATTAATTATTTACATACACCACACATTACCAACTACGTACGGAGAACATACATGTCGCCAAGTCTCGTCTGGGACTCAATCATTTACCTATGAAACCCAACTAATCTACTGGTGGAGTTATTAAAAAAACGGTAATAACATGCATCACAGTGCTCCAATCAAGCTTTGCTCTAAAGGGTTGCTCTAAAGGGGCAATTACAGTAAGGTTAAATGCATGTAAACTCACTTGAGGGTGGCCTCAGCACTTTCTATGGTGACTTTGTCATCAGTAGCATCACGATTAGTTACTCCCAGGTCAAAATACTTGATATCCAGGTCAAGATACGGGAATATCAGCTGCAACCAACCAGGGACAGACTATCAACATCACTGATTATTCTCCGGTTTACACATTTTCAACTGCTCAATTCTTCCGGCAGCTTTTCACTATGGTAAGAACATGTAGCATTACCTTATCTTTGATCATTTTCCAGATGATCCTAGTCATTTCATCACCTAATCGCCAACCAAAGGCACATGAGAAAACACTTCACCAATCAAATTCACTTGCAACTTTCCATATCCATGGCCAGAGGGTTTTGGAAGGGTTTATAGTGCTCACCATCCATTTCAACAATCGGACTCTGAACTTTAACACGATCAGAACTGGAAGAAGACGAAGCAAAACAACGAAGCGAAAAACCGCGAATGAGCGGGGAGTTGAAACGAACGCGACTTCTCCCGATTACTCCAGCTCCTCCTCCTCCGCGGCAATTGAAGAGCGTAGAGCTCGAAGCATATGACAAGCTAGGATTTCTCAGGCTGAGAGAGGACTTGGTAGAAGACGACATCGCCATAGCGCCTGACATGAGGCCTAGTCGGAGTGTGGAAGCGGCGATTCCGGTGAGCATTCAGGCGAAGGAGTGTGTGGAAGTGAGGGAAGTCTGGCGCTCTTTTGTTTTGAGCAAAGTCGAGGACGAAGGTTTTTCTTGGAGTTTCCGGCACTTCTCTAGAGATGTCATGACACGCTCTGCCGTTTCCGGTGTGTTTCTTGCCGTTTCCGGTGTGGGCCGAGCTGTGACGATCTGGGCCGTTGGTCCAGTTCAGACCGGCCTACTCAAATTTGGGGTCCAAAGCTCAAAATGGTAACAGGCTTTGGTATTTAGCACATGGTTGCTAAACCTTTTTTTTTTATATAAATTTTATTTTAGTGTTCGGTTACTAAATATTAATACGTGTCAATTAAGTAATTCAATCCAACACTTTATTTTGTAACAAAGAACGTTCATTGTAAACTTACTCGTCTTTCTTACCTTTATTTCATATATTAGTGGAAGTGCATTCTCATCTCCACCATCTCGTATGTTGTGTATTCCTTATTATCACCGTTGAATGACTTTAAACCTCCGTATCAAAAGCTATGAAGTCAAAGCTTTACATGGGAGAATTTGTTGTTTATAATTGCAATCTCAAAATAATCTAATGATTTATCATATGAGCATATATGCTAAACTTAATATACCAACAAGTACATCAAGTTGTTCTCATTTCATTTATTAAGTTTAAACTTTCATCACATTTAGCAACATTTTTATCATTTTATCATAATTGGAAAAAAAAATTGTGTTAGCTAGCACTTAGCAGTCACATATCCCTCATCAACCAATCCATATTGTGGGAGAGTGTGAACATGGACTGCTAGACTTTGAAATCCAAGAGCTCTCAATTATGATTACTGAATTTTTTGGAGTTGATCTTTAAAAACAGGTGGGGTGTTGTTTGGTGATGAAAAGGAGAAAGGAAAAATAAATAAAGACCCTGTAGTGTACATTACCCTTTGGAAATAACTTAACCGACCAATATGTGTCCAGTTTATAACGAAGAGAACCACCCAAATCAGCTTAGGACAAAAACAACAAGAGGGCATAGGACAAATTTTAATCAATGTTTGACTTTTTAAGAAAGAAACAAGTGTTGACAATTTGGGTGCTGCAATCATGCTCCTTTTTGTATCCTGTTGAGTTGTATATAGATATGAGCGAGCTTAAGCTCAAAGCGACAGGAAGACAGTTGGTGAAGTAAGGAAATTTTGGTTCTTTTCCTTTTTAATTGCCCTTCATTCCCACATGTATTCAAATTAGGGTGTAAAAAAGAGATAAAAGAAAAGAAACTATTCATGCAAAAACAAAATGTTTAACGTTAAACAATGCACACAGTAAGTCATACAATATAAACATCCTTTTTGGTAGGATCTGTAACCTTACCACCTTGGTTATAAGCATGATTGTCTAATTCACTAGGTCAGACAGTTTGATGGCATGCTAAGAATTCGTTGGCCCAACAACTCATAGATGTTCGATAATGGATCTTACAACACATACTAATACGTTCCATCAAACGATACCCACATCTATGAACTTGAAGTTTGCGCACATGTTCGTACATACAATGTGCTTAACAAATGGGGTCACCGGGATTCAAACAAAAAAAAAATTCGGCCACAGAAGACTCTGATACCATGTCAATAACCTCTTAATACCAACAGCTCGAATTAACATGATCACCAATGAAGACCCAACCAAGATATCACTAAATCCTTAACACAATTGATGCTTGGGAAAGGTGTATCATTCTTGGTCAAATTTGTGAGCTAAAATCATATGCCCTTCTAGAAATTTTATAAGAAATTGTCGCCGGTGATGAGGTGGCACTTGTGTCACCGACATGATTCGTGAAAGCAGTGCGACGGCCGACGATTATTGGGGCCCCAAGGCATGGTTAATAGCTGGCCAGGGCTAATCCACGATCACAGCGCGGGGAGTATTTAAACAATTCCTCATTTTATGAGTTAAAAAAGAGGTTTAAGGAATGAGGTGGCACGTGGATACTCCAGCAAGCTAGGTCAGCACTACATTAACAAAAGATGATGACTGAACAACAGAAAAAGATGACGCATTTATGAGGATTGAGGTGACAATCCCCAAAGTCGCACTTAATTAATTGATTAAAGTAAGCTAATCATATTAGTTATCTAGCTTATGTTCTATCATGTAATTAATTTAACTCAGGTTTAAGGCTGTAGCCTAACGCCCTAACCTTGTGGCTTGTGCCCCTGTTCACACCAACCATGTAGCCACCGTATAGCCATTAGGGTGGATTCGGTTCGGTTTGGTTATAATCGATAACTGATTTGTCGGTTATCGGTTAACCGAATCACCATCTCCCCCTACCGAACACCAACCGAAGCCAATGCCTCGATTAACCAATAACCGACCGGTCGGTTAATCGAGATAATCGAAAAAATGATGGTGGTTCGGTTTTAACCGGGTAAAATTATTAGAATAGCCTAAAATGAAAGGTTCTAACTTACATTTCTACATCTAAATCACACCCAAAGTAAAGTCTCAATCACTTTTGCATAGAAAATACATCTAAATCACCAAATTAATGTCTCAAATTCAACAACATAAAGTTATAAACTTCATAACCGGGTATTTTCACGTCGTTTTGGTGAGGGGGTGGTCGGTCGATTATTTTTGGTTATTATCGGTTAACCGGTTTTTGGTTATTCGATTAACCGAATTACCTATTCGGAGCTCCGACCACCGACCGAAGCAAATAATTTTCGGTTATTGGTTAACCGATTTTCGGTTACTCGATTAACCGAATTACCTATTCGGAGCTCCGACCACCGACCGAAGCATATAATTTTCGGTTATCGGTTAACCGATAACCGCCGGTTACCGGTTTAACCGGCCAGTTAACCGGCAACCGATAACCGAACCTCCGGCCCTAATAGTCATGCCCAGACTTTTTATTTTCGGTGATTCCCATTAGCCAGACATTCCACTAACAAGTGGGTTGTCATTCTTTATTATCGAAGTTAAAAAAAAAGACGCGACGTATAAGATGGGTGTAGGAGTCTTATTCGTCGACAAAATGTTCATAGCACTCTAGATGCGCCTTTTTGAACCATGCTCTTATGATTTATCACCGACACAACTATTAAGTAAAGTGTGAAAATTCATCATGAGAGATATAAGTGATATATCTATTATACAACACACGTATCCTTTAATTTGTTATGGACAAAGGTAACCTCTGGTCATCATAATAGAAATATGACATGGAATTTCCAGGTTCAATAAATAAAGATAATGCACATTCTTCTGCTTTGCAATCTTACCACACCTGTGGTTTACCTAGTGGGTTGAAGACTTGGAATTTATTGTGGAATTCCAAGTTAGCAAATTGCAACCTTAGGCTGTTAATTACACAAGTCTTCGTGAACTTTAACCGTGTGTTTATGGAAAATCTTAGATTGAAAATTCAAATTATGAAAAATGAAGGCTCCTTAATTTTTTGTTGCATATGGTTGGTTTCCACTCTCCAATTCTCTTTGGACTTTTACTCGTCGGTTGTGGTGGCCGGAACATTTTGTGCTATCATGAACAGATACTCTTATTTTTCTCCTAAAACCCAAAAGCCAATTGGTGGACTCCATAATTGACTTAATGTAACCAGGATTTGAGTCACTTTATAAAGTAAAAATTACATTTGAAAGTGTTTTTTTGGAGTTGGAGTTGCTATCAAATTAGTTCAAGATTGCGACTACTAGGGCATCAGAACTTTAATGTATAAAGTAGGTAGTTAATGGCCATTTTTCAAGATGACCTTATCAATGACAACAACATAGAAACAAAATCTCTTCTTATACTTCTCCATTTCCCCTAAAATATGACCTTATTTAGACTGGTTTTTTCATAGTCATTTACTATATAAACAACTTTCATTTTATAAAAAAAGAAATTGTGTATACGAGACACATGATTGTACTGCTAGGACGTACAAACTTCTACCTAATAGAGAACAAAAAAAAAACTAGAAGACAAAGGAGTTTTTTTTTATCCAAGATAAGCCCCAGGCATGATCGAACAACAAATATATTAAACTGATAATAATAAAGAATGGTAGCCCTTATGCAACCGGACTCCCAATAAAAGAGCCTTTTTTGCCACGAGGTGGGCAGATCTATGAAAGCTCCGAGGAGCAAAGACGCGAAACTGACACAGGGAGTCGAGAAGAGAGAAAGAACTTCCCTTAAAATATCTCCGACTTTAGAATGAGAAGACTTCCTCGATGTAGCATCCTGATGACAGTAGCTAAGGACATATAGTACAATTGCATTGAATATCCAAGATGATCAAAGAAGTAAGAGTATCTGCATCATTGAAGTCGCTAGCATCGCACCGACAAAGTGATAAACGACAACAATCGAAATTAGAGTTTTATCAAATCAATGTCCCCTTTCACATCTAACCATCTTGTCCATGATAATATTTTTTTTGGTGAGATCTTGTCTATGATAATATGATAGATAAAAACAATTATCCATACTTAGAAAATATGTTTACAAAAGTTATTATGATTCTGATTCTAGATTAGCGTATCTTAGGGGTCGTTTGAAAGTTTTGATTTCAAATGGTGTATTGAATCAATTCATATGAGATTAAGTCGCTTTTTTGACTTATATTGAACTAGAATACATGCATTAACTTTTTGGAGACCCCACCAACCACCATAATCACTCTTAATTGAGTGATAATCAATTTCTACACTTTGTTGAGATTCTTCACAATCACTCAATATTAATCTTTATGACTTTACAACAAACCACAATCTAAACCTCCAAACAAAATATTTTTCTAATACATCAATTGATTCAATACATCAAATGATAATACACTAATTTACTCAATACATCAATTTGAATAATTATAATTTCTAGATCGTATTACCGTTATGTAACAAAGTACATGTAATTTACCTATAACACAGCCTAAAAGAACGGCCATTCTAGAAGCCCAGAACCGGAAATTAGCGGGAAGGGATTTACTTAAACACCGGTGTTACAAAAATAAAACGATTTGATTCCCGTTCCTCCAATCCACGTGTACGAGGCTCGGAAACAAAATAAAAATAAAAATAATACGCGGCAGCAGCGGCTTTATTCCTAGCTCAGTAGTTGAACCATTTCACATTTTCACTGCCTCCGGCCAGCCATGGAAATGAGACAGAAGAAGGCGAACACTGAAACGACAATAATCTTCTTTTCCTTCTTCTTCGCCTGCGCTCTCTTCACTCCTTCCGCCGTCGCCGATCCCCGAACGACAGATCAGTCCGGCCTATTCTGCGGCGCAGCTCGCCCGCCGCCGTCCGTCGCCGCTAGCTTCATCCCTACATTCGTCAAAGAAATGGACGCCCTGAGCTCCCAGCTCATAAACAACAAGCAAAAATTCGCCACTTACCATCTCAACAACTCCGCAATCCCCTTCTACGCCTTGATCCAGTGCCACGCCGACCTCTCCCAGACCGACTGCCTCCTCTGCTACGCCGCCGCCCGCACGAAGCTCCCCCGCTGCCTCCCCGCCGTCTCCGCCCGGATCTACCTCGACGGCTGCTTCCTCCGCTACGAGAATTACAGCTTCTACACGGAATCCGTCTCCCCAGCCATCGACAACTTCACATGCGGCAGCGCCGCCGCCGCAGGAGCGGAATTCGAGTTCGCGGAGAGCGTGAAGTACGCGGTGGCGAATGTGACGAGGAACGCGGCGGCGTCGGAGGGAGTGAGCGGGTTTTTCGGAGTGGCGGAAGTTGGAGGAAGAGCTTATGCTCTGGCGCAGTGCTGGGAGAGCGTCGGGAGAGATGGTTGCCGGGAGTGTTTGAGTAAAGCCGCCGCCGCGGTGGTCGGAGGATGTCTGCCGAGGAGGGAAGGGAGAGCGCTGAATGCTGGGTGTTATTTGAAGTACTCCGATCATAAATTCTACGGCGACGGAGGTGTTAGAGTGCATGGTCACGGTAATTTCGGACTCTTTGTTTTTGAAAGTTTATATATTTCTCTAGGTTTTGTTTGTTTGCTGAGAAATCAGAGGGAAAGCGACGGAACAGAAACAGGAAGAAGGGGGGGAAACGATCTTGAATAACTTAATTAGGGTTTCTTGCAACATTGAGCATTGATTTTGAGTTGCCACGGCTCTGTTTGAATTTTCAGGGGATTCAACACTGGGAGTGATAATGGCGATTGCCTTAGCATCAGCAGCATTCGCCATGCTTACACTCTTTGCAGCTTACGCTATCCATATCAAACGCCTAAAGGCTAAACAAGGTATGGATCCAGAAACCATCTCCTCAGACCAGAAGAAAATACTCCATATTTGAGCTCCCCCCACTTACTAGAAATTGCTACAGCACGCAGAAATCTGGGTAAGGTCTCGATAAGCTTCAACAGATCAAGCATGAACTTCAAGTACGAAACTTTAGAAAAGGCCACTGATTACTTCAGCCTATCGAAGAAGCTAGGCCAAGGAGGAGCTGGCACAGTGTTCATTGGAACTCTTCCCAATAACCAAACCGTTGCAGTGAAGCGGCTGATCTTCAACACAAGCCAATGGGTGGACGAGTTCTTCAACGAGGTGAATTTGATCAGCGGAATCCAACACAAGAACCTCGTTAAGCTGCTCGGTTGCAGCATTGAAGGACCCGAGAGCCTGCTAGTCTACGAGTATATTCCCAACAAGAGCCTCGACCAGTTCTTATTCGGTAAGAATGAAAGACCCTTACATGAGAACTCTCTAACCCATGATTTCGGAAATGGTGATTTGGATTTTCTGTTTCATTGTAGAGAAGAACAGCAAGGTGGTGACTTTGAGCTGGAAGCAGAGGTTGAACATAGTAGTTGGGGCGGCGGAAGGGCTGGCGTATCTTCATGGAGAAAGGGGGTCTCCTGTGAGGATCATACACAGAGATATCAAGAGCAGCAATGTGCTACTGGATGAGGATTTCAATGCCAAGATTGCGGATTTCGGGCTCGTTCGCCATTTTGGTGCTGATAAGTCTCACCTCAGCACTGGGATAGCTGGAACCATGTGAGTGTTCTCTTATCTAACTGTGTATCCTGTTACATTACATTGGGAGAGTGATACTAAAGTTCCACTTGTTTTGCTGCAGAGGATACATGGCTCCTGAGTATCTGGTTCGTGGGCAGCTCACTGAGAAGGCCGATGTTTACAGCTTTGGAGTCCTGGTTCTGGAGATTGTGAGTGGGAAAAGGTGCAATGCTGTTATAGGCGAATCCAACTCCCTCCTCCAAGCAGTATGGCCTCTTATTAATCTTTCATCTGCCATACTTTAATGTAGTAGTAGTAGTGCTAGTTCTCATCGTTATCAGGAGTCTAGCGCGAAACCTCTCACGGTTGTGACTTCGTTTGTGCTTAACGTGGTGTTGTTTGTTCAGGTATGGTTCTATTACAGAACGAACAGACTGATCGAAGCAGTTGATCCATCCCTCGATAGTGATTTCCCAGCAGATGAAGCACTAACAGTGCTGCGAATCGGCCTACTGTGCTCACAAGCTTCAGTCTCCTTAAGACCATCCATGGCACAAGTCATCGAGATGCTGACAAATCGTGACTGCGTGATCGCAGCTCCAAGTCAACCACCATTCATGAGGGGTACAGATTTGATGGACCCTGATGCGTCCTTCAGGTCCCGAAGCACATACAGTTCAGTATCAGCAGTTTCAAATGGGGAATCCACCAAAGAGTCTTCTAGCCTGCTCAGCAGCCTAACCACTGGTCTAACCAGGAGTCAAGATTCAAGAACTAACAGAGGAGTGAAAAAGTAGTCCCTTTCCAAGCTTGTAACTTCCACTCATCAATCATTTGTCACTGTGGAAAAGAGGGACCCAAAAGAAGAAAAGGATGGAAAGGGAAAGGGGTTGCTCTGGCAGGTAGCCTGCTTTTAGCTGTTTTTTATGGCCGGTTGGTTGGGCCGTTAATGTTGGCGGCAGAAATGTCAAAATAGTTTGTTGAATTTGGGCTGAATGTGCAGAAAGAATCAGCAGTAGTGTGTTGTCCATCATCGCCAGTGGTGTCATACTCTTTTAGTCATAGAAATTTTTGTTCATTCACATGTGGCCTGTGGGTACTGCAATACAAATAATACATGATTCTGCACATGTATTTGTTTTCTTTTCTTCTTTTCGACCAACAAAACCAACCAAAAACCGTCCTAATATGGTCACGACATTTGTTGTCGTTAAAGAGAATTTGATGTTTTTTTTATGAAAAATGTCACTGCACAACTGCATAGATGCAACAACGAAACAGCAAAGAAGGGCATCAAACTAACACCCAAATTTGATCAACATTGGGTTGGAACAAGTTCAAGTCGACCTCTCTAATCACCTATAAACCGTCCTGAATTGATTGAAACCGTCCCATCTTCATTGCCATTACCATCTTCAACAAGAAAAGGGTCCCTTACCCTACTACATCAGCCGAAGAGAAGGACACGCATCTTCAGCCATTAATAAGCTTGCAAAGTACAAAAACTAAAAAACGAAGCACCAACTCCAAACCAACATTCATTTATTGGGCTTGCAAACGGGACCCCTAATAACTAATAAGACTATCAACCATCTAGCCAGCCTACTCATTCATCTTCGACAACAACGCTGATCACGCCTTTCTCCAGGAGATCGTAGAACTCCCTGGTCCGCCTCTGGTTATTCCAGTGGTGCATCTTCCACAGCCCTCCAGCAGCCAGCCCTAAGGAGATGCCGTAGATGATCTCTTTGACTATGCTTGGTCCCTTGTAAGCAGCGTGTGACACCTTCCCCGCGCCGCCAGCCATGTCGATCACTCGATCTGTCTTATTATTAAGGGGTAGTTGTTCCTTTCAATTCCCCTGCAATTCTGCAAATGAACAAAGAGGGAGAGAGGAAGTAGTGAGAGCGCTCCTGAGTTGGGCGAAGGCGTGAAGCCCATGGCCATCTGGATCGTGCTCGCTGCTTCTAGTTCTAGAGAGCCGCGGTGGCGGGAATCTAAGCTGCCACGTCAACTGTCGAGTTTGGACTGTGATACTAATTCTAGCCACGACGTCGTTTGGATGGTGGCTGATCCCGATCATACCGGGCTTTCTCAATATGTTTTAAGCCCAAACATTGGCATAAGACTGAAGAGGCCCAATGGCCCAAAAAAGCACATTACACCTGGCTCGGAGGGTGTCCGGGAAATAGGGATGGCAACAAAACCCGAACACATGAGTACCCACCCGACCCAACCCGGTCAACGCAGGTAAAACTTGTGTTGACGGGTTTTGGGTCGGATTCGGGTTTAAACCCGCTACACTATTCACCGGGTAGGGTTGGGTTTGGGTTTAGGTAAACCCGCCCCATGGGTACCCGCTCACACACATATAATTACTTTCCCGGTATATTTAATACTCTAAATAATATATCTTTCTTAAACAATTAATATTCTTTATGTTTGTGGAGACATATATAATTTGTTGTTTCTAATTGTTTTAGAATGAAGTTGATATTATGAAGTGGAGAGTGAAGAAACTTAGTTGACGAGTAAGAAGCTTTCAATTAAACTTATTGTTTATAGATGTTTGTCTTTAATTTTGAACAGTTTGTATTGATCATTTGCGGTTTGCTTGTATGCTCTAGATTGGTGTTTTTTTGTATGAATAATTTGTATGAGAAAATTAATGTTAAACTTTTATTTTGAAAAAAACTTGTTATTGTAAATTTTTTACCACAAAAACCCACGGGTACCCACGAACCCGCGGATACCCAGCGGGTTGAGTTGGGTTTGAGTTTTTCTAATCCAGCGGGTTTTACCCCGATTTTTTTGGCGGATAAACCCATGAATTTGGATTTGGGTTTGACAAAACCCGCCCCAACCCGACCCATTGCCATCCCTACCGGGAAATTTAGTAGCCGTAGCGTGACGTCATTTTACAATTTAATCCCCGTCCCCTCTCGGCCCCAGTATAACACCAGAAGTATAAATGAGGCATATACGAAGATTTTCCTACTCACTTCACAATTTTCTTGTCTTCAACTCGCCACCATTCTTTCCCGCCTTGCGAAAACAAAAATTTTGAGCTCCAAATTGGAACAGCGAAGCGATTTCAAAATCACAGACGAGTTTATCTAAGAGCATTTCAATTCGCAGAAACTCGAGATTTCTGCTGGGGATCGGATCGGTCTCTCGCTCGCCTGAGCTCGTTTCTTCTGCCGGCGAGACAGATCGCTGGATTCTTCACCGTCAGCCGTGCGTCTCAGGAGATTATTCCTTCAGGTTACGTTTGATATTTTGATTTCGAGTTCTGATTTTGTGTGTGCTTACAGTCCACTTTTACTTTACGTGAGGCTTCGACGGGATGAAATCTGCCTGCGGAGGCTTCGTGCATTGCTTTGCTGTTTCTCCGTTTCTTAGATTGTGATTGTCGCCAGGAATCAAACCTATCTGATGCTTAATTGCATCTCAGAGCTGAATCTCTCACTGTTAGCTTCAAATCCTGTAGAGGTCTCAATGAATTTCATTCTCCGTGATTAGGTTTTCCAACTCGCCACCGTTCGCTCCCGCCTCTGATAATAGAAAATTTTCGAAATCAAAGTTGGAACAGCATACGAGTTACTCGAGAATTTCACTTTACAGAACCTGAAATTTCGGCTGGAGAAGAACTGTCTCTCGCCTGAGATCGTTTCTTCCGGCGAGAAGATAGTTCGCCGTCTGTTCTAGCCGGAGATTCCTCCCTCGGGGTTCTTTAATCTCAATAACTTTGAATTCTGGTTTTGCCTGTGTTTCTCATTCTTACGTGAGACTTCGACGGAATGGAATCTGCCTGCGTGCGCGTAGCTTCGTCTATTAATTTTCATGTTTCTCCATTTCTTCGACTGTGTTATCATCAAGAATCGAAACTATCTGAAGCCTATTTGCAGCTCCGACTGGAAATTTCATCGTTCAATTCAACTCATGCTCATGTAGATTTCTCATTTATTTTGTTCGTAGGTTTAGGTTTCCATTAGTACGTTCGATGTAATTTTCCTGTCCTCATCTATGCGGAAGTTACTTGGCGTGATTTCACTATTCTCTTCGCTTATGTTCGTTTACCACTCATTCTGCAGGCATCTCTGATTAGCTGATCTCGAACAGCTGCTCATTTTTTTAAAATCTCTCCATCGTTTGAGAAGTGATATTGAAATGGATGCATATACGCTCAAGTCTGTGTCGGATTTGCCATCACATTTCCGTTCAATTTTTAGTTTCAGGTACATTCTCATCAGGTTAATCTCTGTGAATGTGATGTGCAAACTGTTGTTGGGAAGTTTAGAGCCTCTTGTGATAACTCTTCATTGGTTGGCTAGTGCTTTCCATAATTTTATCTATGGTTTGTTAGTGAAAATTACAGTTACTATTCGGAATTGGTCATGATTCATGAATCATGTGCACCTGCAGATACTTCAACCCGCTACAGAGTGAATGCTTCCCCGTTTGTTTCCATTCTGATGTCAACATGGTCATCTCTGCACCAACAGGGAGTGGTAAAACTGTTCTCTTTGAACTCTGTATACTGAGGCTTCTCTCAAGGTTCATATCTGGGCAGAACTTTATCCATGTCAAGGGAACCCTTAAAACGGTAAGTTCAGAACATCCGAATCAACTGATGGTCTATTTCTCTTATTCCAGATTATATGCATTAAAATGTTGATGGATTAACAAGTGAGTAGTTCAGTAGAAATGGCAATGAGTCCATATTCTTGTTTCAGGTTGATACTGTTGGATTTGAAGTTTACTTTCATTTGATGGATAATAATTATTTGATTCTTCTGCATTCTTTTCTTGTGTGAGTGGAGGTCTATATTGCACCATCGAAGGCTCTCGTACAGGAGAAGGTCCGTGACTGGAATAACAAGTTTGGAACACTTGGAATAGCTTGCTTGGAGCTGACAGGAGACAATGAGTTTTATGACTCCAGGACTATACAAGAAGCAGATATTATTCTGACCACCCCTGAGGTCTGCAAACAGAAATCAACTGAGTCCTCTGACTTCATGTTGCTTAGGTCTAAACAGTGGTCCGAATAGGCATACCTTGTTTGAGTCTGCAAGGTTTCCTGTTCTGATTTTCTTCAAGCTACATAATGAACTTGTTTGCACTTTGGCTGTTGCTTTTGTCTACTAGCTGATTGGTGCCATTTCCTTGGAACAGAAATTTGATGCTGTGACTCGATACCGCATAAAGAATGGAGGCTTGAGCTTTTTCAGTGACATAGCACTTCTACTTATCGATGAAGTTCACCTATTGAATGATCCTCGTGGAGCAGCTTTGGAGGCAATTGTTAGTAGAATTAAAATGCTTTCTAGTAATCCTGAACTGAGATCAAGTCCTCTGTCCGCTATCCGGCTTTTAGCTGTTTCAGCCACAGTTCCTAATATTGGCGACCTTGGTAAGTTTCGCGATATCTGCTATCCATCTTATTAATGAGACTAGAATTTACTGTATCCAATTGATATTGACTTCTTACGTAATGAAAATTCCAGCTGAATGGCTTAATGTTCCTGTCAAAGGAATCAAAAGGTACTTTGTTTCTCCCAAACAAATCTAGCTGTACCCTACTATGCTATTTTCCTATGGCTCATGTTTTGGTCACAGATTTATATTAGTTTCATCATTGGTTGGCAGATTTGGAGAGGAAATGAGACCTGTGAAGCTGACTACTAAAGTTTTTGGTATGTTTATTTATTGCATGGATGAAGTATTACTATCCCTTTGTACTTGCTAGATTATCACTTGTGCAGATGGTCAGGAAGAACTGTTTTCTTATTGTTCGTCTATCCCCTTTGCAGGATATACCTCAGCAAAGAATGATTTTCTCTTTGAAAAGGCAAGTGGTCATAAGGATGAACTGTGCAGCCTTTGAAGTTATGTTTCCTTTTTATTTGGGAATGTGTGAAAATTCAAAAGCATATAAAATAGCGGAGCACTTCTAACTTCTGTTGTTACCTTTACTTCTTTGACAGCGCCTTCAAAACTATATTTTTGGTAAGTGGGCTGCTTGAAAAAGCTTAAACTAACATCATTTTCATAATTTTCTTGCTGGTTAACTTCTGAATTGACTACTCGAGATATAAGTTGGTGGTTCTCATTGATATATGTAGATACACTAATGCAATTCTCCAAAGGGAAGTCTGCATTAATCTTCTGTTCTACAAGAAAAGGAGCACAGGAAACAGCACAGCAACTTTCCCAAACAGTGATGAATTTCGGCTATTCTAATCCATTCATTAAAGACCATGAACAGAAGGAAAGACTTAGAGAGGCTTCCATGTCATTCAGTGACAAACAGATGCAATCTTATATACTCTATGGAAGTATGACTCTAGTCCTCTGCACTATGTAGGTTTATGTTTAATTTTCATTTATCCAAGGTTTGCTGCCTAAGTTTAATCTACAGTTGGGTATCACAATGGCGGTCTCTGCATGAAGGACCGCAATCTGGTTGAAGGTCTCTTTCTTAAGGGTGATATTCAGGTTCTGTGCACCACAAATACCCTTGCTCATGGAGTCAACTTGCCAGCACATACTGTAGTGATAAAGTCGACTCAGCATTAGTACGTGATCCTAGTTGTTCAAGTAGTTTTGTCATAGTTCAGGATAGAAAATATAAAAAGAAACCTGAATTATTTTACTCTGTGTGTTCGTATATTACTATTTGGTACAGTAACAAAGAAAAAGGTCTCTACATGGAGTACGATCGATCCACAGTACTACAGGTATGTTCTCCTTTTGAGCATTACTTCATCAATCAATTCACTTGAATTGTAACACTCAGTACACTAAAATCACAATTTGAATTGTTATTAGATGTGTGGAAGAGCTGGTCGGCCACCATTTGATGATACAGGGACGGTAATAATCATGACGAAAAGAGAAACAGTGAGCCTATTGCTTCTTCCCTCTACGATGCGTTTTGTGTATATGCTTGGGATTTTCTTCATTGTATTAAGTTAATAATTCCTTGCAGGTCCATCTGTATGAAAATCTCTTGAATGGATGTGAATTGGTGGAATCACAGTATGCTGATTGCTGACTACTACTCGTTTACTTGTTAATTTTTTCCGAAGTCAATTAATCAGCAATTCTGACTAGAATTTTTACTGTACAATTGTTCCTTCAGGTTGCTTCCATGCGTGACAGAGCATCTGACTGCAGAGATAGTTCAGCTGACAGTTTCGGATATAGCACGTGCAATTGAGTGGATGAAATGCTCCTACTTGTATGTTAGAATGAAAAAGGCAAGCACTTCTAGTTCAACCTCTTTGGTTATTACTTATGCATAGTCCTTTCAGCTTGCTTACTTGATTACTTGTGCTCAGAACCCAGAGAATTATGCTGTTAGCAGGGGCATTAATAGAGAATCTATTGAGAAGCATATCAAAGGTAGTTTTTTGCAGTAGAATTTTTAATTCCCTGTTCTCGAGTCTGACCAGTATGATCGAATTCCAGATATTTGTGTCCACAAAGTTCAGGAGTTATCACGCTATCAAATGATCTCAACAGAT